CCCCGAGCGACGATGTCCGCCCTGACCCCACCCTCCCCCTCCTCTCCCTCCTTCAACACCACCTCCCGACGCACACCAGCGTCCCCCCACGCCATCCCAATCAGCTCGGCAAAAGTGTCCCGCAGCTCGTCGTGGCGACGAATCACCAGGCCGTACCGCTTGCAGCACAGCGCATGGTCGACATCATTCCCGCACCACTGCTATGTACTGCACACACGCGGCGGCATGCACAGCTCGTCAGCCCCTGGCCTTTGTTGGAGCCACGTTGATCACTTGCGTCCTCCCCGTCTGTCCGCCGGTCCAGCCATCCTGACGCCGTGCTTCCTGGCCTGCTTGACGAACTTGCGCAGCTGGTGGCACTTGCCCATCAACAGGTCGAGCTTGCGCATCAGCTGCTCTTCTGACAGCTGCCACACGTAGTCTGACAGGGTGTCACCATCTAACTCGTGCTGACAGGGACACACAGACACAGAACAGGGAGAGGGAAGGCCGATGGGCATGGGAGAGAGAGAGAGAGAGAGGAAGAGTTGTTGCGTGTTGGTGTGTAAAGCAATGTGTGCACCTCACCTCCTTTATGATGTCGGTCAGCTCCACGAGGGCCTTGCGGTCGCTCTGCCCCAACGCCTTGACTAATTCTTCGCTCGTCATGCCCTCCAGCGACCTGCTGTCTGAGCACGACAACACACACATGATGGATGCACAAAGTGGGTGGTCTTGGCGTGCTGTCACACCTTTGTTCGCGGCCCCCTCCCTGTCGCTCACGGCGCCATCGTCGCTCCGGTCGTCGTCATCCCGAGTCCGTTTGCGACCCCTCCTCGGCACCAGCAACGAACCGTCTACCTGATCAAAGTCGGTCGGTGACAAACAGACAGACAGAACGGGATGTGAGGCGACCAATAAATGCAACCCCCCAAGTGTCACGCACTCACCCCCTGGTCCCGCGCGTGTTCGACGAATAGCTCCAACTCAAATCCCTTGCCCATAGAAATATCTAGCAGCGTCTAAAAGCAGCCAGCCAGCCAACACATGAAATGAATGCCGGATGCCAAGCAGATGGGCACTGTTCGCACAGCATAGCATACCCACCCGCAGGTCCTCCCGCGAGTGCCGGTCCATCAGCTCACTCAACACCTTCCCACTCAGCTCATGCTGCACACATACAACAGCAATCGATTGGCCATGCGCCACTCCCTTGTCCTCCCTGCCTCTTCGCACCTTCTCAACGATAGTAGCCAGGCCGCGAAGCTCTTTCGACTCGCTCTGCTCGAGTGCGAGAGCCAGCTGTCGAGAGCTCAGCGCCTCCAGCGGCTTATTCTCAACTCCTCCCTCCTGCCCCTGCGATGACGAGTTGGCTCCTCTATTGGCCATGGGAACCTCAGCAGCAGCGGGTGCAGCCGCAGGCGGTGAGCCGGGTGACTTCGGTGGTGAGTCGAGAAGAACCTCCTCACGCCGCTCACGAAGTCTCGGACTGCTGCGCTGCCGAGCGACTGGCTTCGGTTTGGCTGCGGCGGCCTTGGCTGTCGCCTTCGCCTTCGCCTTGGCTGCTGGTTGCGGTAGCGCTGCTGGTGGCGGTGGCGGCGGTAATGCTGGTGGGTTGCGGGCGGCGGCTTTGGCTTTCGCTTTGGCTGCCGGTGGTGGTGCCACAGAAGGTGGTGCAGGCAGTGCGGGAGCCTCAGGGTGCTTGGGATATCGTTTGAGGCGCTGCTTAGGCGCCATAGAAGGCCTGGTGGCGCCAGAAACTCATGGGAATGCCACCATCACGCCATCATCGCTCGCAGTGGCAAGCCGCTCAAAATTGGAGCCGCTCGCAGTTGCGTTTCGCGAATGGGTTGAATCCATGCTTCACCCGCGTTGCTAGACACACATATACATTAGACACCCCGCGTACGCACACCGCCAGCCCTCACGCACACAATTCGCATGCAAAATTTGCACACACAAAATGGCATCGATTGCACCGAACGTACCGAAGCAAGTGCTAGTCACTATCTACACACACACACACACACAGACAGATCCCTTCTCTTCTCTTCTTTCTCTCTCTCTCTATCTCTCTCTCTCTCGCACCCCTCATGCGCAACTCTCGCTCTCCCTCCCTCTCATAGCAAGTCGTCAGAAGAGTCTGACACATCACCGGTGTCACACAAAGGGTCGGCCGGCGTCCCCCCTCTCCCCCGCAAGCGCCGCGTGCTCCACGCACCACGCCGTGGGCTCATCCTATCATGTCTATGGACACCTCTGCTAACAGGGGCTGGGGGGCGGGAGGGGTAATCGGGGCGCGCGGAAGCTACTGTCGGTGGCTGCGCTTCTGGCGGCTGGGAAGGGGTGGCTGGCGGCTCGCCTCGCAGAATGCGGGCCAATCTCATTGTCTGCGGATCCATCGCATACCTGACACCACACACACACACGCACGACAGACACAGGTACGAACCAGGTGGCCGGCTGAGCAACTGACAAACATACGCATACGGATCTCTCCCCCTCACCTCGCGGCCCGTTTCGAGTGTGCTGGTGCGCTCTGTGTGGGTGGCGCCGGTCTTGGCGGCACCCGTGTCTTGGGCCGCTCTCCCTCCCTCTCCCCAGCCACAGCAGCCGCCCGTGGCGGGGGCAGCGGGTGGGGGGATGCAAAGGGTGCCTCGGACTCACGAGGAGGCTGCGATTCATCACTATCATCCATGTCGTCAAACAGCAATGGGCTCTCCTGCTGCTGATGCTGCGGCAGGGTGACCGGCAGCGACGAGGGGGCGGGGGGCTGCTGCAGGGTCGTGACGAGCCCTTGCAGCATGTTGAGGATGCCCTGCTGCAGCTGCCCGTGGTCGAGCAGCGTCGGCGGTGGCGGTCTCTGCTCAGTGGGGGGTGGTGGGTGCTGCCTCAGGTAGTCAAACAGGACCCTCTGGATCTCGTCGCTTTTGCCCCCGCCGGCACCTGCATCTCTATCATGCCCATTGGTGGGCGGCTCGGGTCCTCTACTGGCAGCAGATGCCGAGGGCTCGGCTGGCTGTTGTGATGAGGCGATCACGTGGTCAGCACATGAGGGAATGAGGCTGCCCTCAGCTGCCGGCTGCGATGGTGGCGCTACGTGGTCGGTGGGGGGCGCTGGCTCGGCAATGGTGGGAGGTGTTGGTCCTAAATGGGGCCCATTCGGCTCACTGGCAGGGAGGGGGGGCTGAGGGGGAGGGGGAGGGGGAAGGGGCGGTGGAGCCACTATACTCGACGAAGGCTGAGGTACCGCCTTGGTCGCTCCCTCATGGTCGCCGGCTCGCGATATCTCCTTTGCCGCCTGTCCACTTGCCACTGCCGCAGGTTGCTCCGATGTCACTCTCTGCCGCTCATCGTCTGTTCCGCTGTCCTCTTTTAGCCCCTCGTCTCGCTTGGCGGCAGTGTGTGTGGGCTGTGTGGGCACTGGGTGGGGCGGCAAGAGGTCCTCAACAGTGGTGGGCCGAAAAGTGTCCGCATTCTGGTCGCATGTGTGCCCCGGATGACCGGCATCTGGGCTGGCGGCCGCCGTGTCGGGATGGACACCCCGTGTGGCCTCCGCCTCTTCTTTCACTGGCGGTGGTGGGTGTAGGTCTCTGCTCGTCGGCGGCCTCTGTGGGGGCGACAGGAGGGGCGATGACGCCCCGGACAGAAAGGAAGAGATGAGCGATTGACGAATCGACTGGGCGCTCTGCGAGACGTCCTGTGGGTGGTCGACGGATGGCGGGGAGGGGGACGAGGAGAAGTGGTCGATGGACGGCTGTTCCAGCGGCCGCAGGGGCGGCTCCTCGTCTGCATCCTTGAATGGCGAGAGGTCGGCACGCGACGGGGATGAGGGCGAGAGCTGCAGCACCGAATCGGCATCGGTTTGCGGCGGGTGGAAGGGAGGGACCAGCTGTGGCTGTGGCTGTGGAGCATCAGGATGCGGCTCGTCTGCAATTGAGAACCCTCGTGGTGTCCCATCCCTCCACTTCTGGATGGTCTCGAGTGCCGCCATGTTCTTCATGTGCTGCGCTGTCAATTCCTCAAGTGGCGTGTTTCGCAGATGCTCCTCCAGTGCAGACAGCTCCTCCCTCGCCCGCAAGGACAGCGCCCGCGCCTCATCCATCGCGCTCGTGCCCTCCTCCCCTGCTGCTGCCGTGGGCTCTTCTAACGGCCTCGCCTGTGTCGCGTCAGACCGTCTCAGGGCGGCGAATGGCCCGGGCTGGCCGACTGGCGCTGAGGGGGTGGTCGACGGCGGGCTGGTGAGGGACACCTGTACACGCAGCTGTCCGCAGCTCTCCTTGATGGTCGTGTCGAGCGGTACTGCTGTCGGCTGATCGCGTGTGGCCGCATGGCGGACGGCGTAGTAGCCGTCGATGGGGAGGCCGAAGGTGAGTGTCTCGAGGGGCACCTCCGCCACGCCGATGAGGGTGGACTGGTTGCTAACCGCCTTGTCCAGGTGCCACACGAGCAGCCGCAGCTGCAGCCACCGCAGGTCCGACACCTCCTCTATGACACGGTCGCTCCCCGACGCCTCATCAGGAGCGAGGCAGATGGTGTGGTGGGAGTGCCAGGTGGGCGTCGGCGTTCGATGCACCACCGCAGTGCCGCCCATCTCCGCTGACACGTCCTCGATGACGACCCCACGTGGCGGCTGGCCGTGCGGTGTGTCGTCGTGCTGTGTCTGTGTCTGTGTGGGGTGGTCGGTTGCGAGCTGGATGGAATAGGAGACCATGGCATTTGGGGGGCGGCCGTCGATGAGCGGGAGATGTGTTGCGTTGAGGACACAGATGTGCAGCTCCAGACCCGGCCCACTCGTGGCTGAATGCGGCGCCTCCACTGCAGCTACTGGACGGGCCAGCCTCTCTGTTGCCAACTCCTCACTGTCGTCGACCCCCTCTGTTGCCACCTCCTGTCGGCTGGGCGGTGGTGGTGGTGGTGCGAGTGTATCGACGTCTCGCAATAAGTTGGCGTAGTCCACCCACTCCTCCCCCTGGCCACCCCTGTAAACCTCGCCCTTCCACGCCTTCCATCGCCTGACGAACGCCCACTCCCATGCAGTCAGCCCGGCGACGCTGCCGCTTCCCGGCTGCTGCTGCTGCATCGACTGCTGCGCCAGGAGGACGGCCTGCTGGAAAGCGCTCCACGGCAGGCACCCTGAGGGGGGGAGAGAGGTGGTGGCGCTGGTGCTATTGCGGACAGAGTCGGCCAGCTCGCGTGTCAGCGGCTCCTTGAGCTGCAGTAGCTTGGGTGCGATGGTCCTGAGGATGAGGAGGTCGATGAAGGGGCGGGAGCACTGCAGATGGTGACGCTTGGATGGGGTCTGGTCTGCTGACGTCGGTGTCTCTGTGTCGGCTGTGAGGATGCTCTTGAAGGGGGGCGGCAGGGGGGTCAGCAGGTGCAGCACGCCGTGCTTCCTGAACGAGCAACGAGAAGCGAAGAAACAGCGGGCCTTCCACTTCGTGTGTGTGAGTGGTGCATGTGTGTGTGTGTGTGTATGTGTCCATCTCACTTGAGCAGTGATCCCAGGACGGTTGCCGTGGTCGGCGCATCCAGCCCCACCATTGCCCTAGCCCCCTTCGGCCGCCCCTCCAATGGCGGAGTGTGGAGGTCATGCCACAGCCGGCCAATCAGCGCTGAGTATAGGTCGGCCGCCTCGCCACTCACCGCCTCCTTGGCTGCACTACGTGACCGCAGCCGCAGGTCTTTGCCCTCCCAGCAGGTGGCCGCCCACCCACTGGGCATCATCTGCGAGGCCGTCGATGGCGCCACCTCCTCGTGTGTGGTGGCTGAGGTGACAGTGACCGTGGCGAAGAGACGTCCGGCGATCCTGCCGTCGGAGCCCTCGAGTGGGATGGACAGCGACCACCAGGAGAGGCACTTGGAAGTGGCAGCGGTAGCGCTTGTCGGTGGTGGTGGTGGTGGGATGGATGTGGCGCCCTTGGCCACTTGTTTGGACTCGGTGAGGGCTGCCCGGCCGATGAGGAGGTATAGCTGCAGCTCCATCTCTATCTCAGCTGTGGCGCAATCACAATTGGACACCGACCTTCACACACAGCAGGGAGGGAAGCAAGACAAGCATCGATCGCATCGTGGTGGGTATGGTTCTCACGTGCAGTGCAGAGCTCACCACTGTGAGAACTTCTCGCTATGGCCAACACGCAGCCGAGCCAGTGTGCCGCAGAAGGGCCGCCAAGCTACGGGCGGTGACCCACCGCTCCCCTCTCCCTCTCCAGCCTTGTCATGCCCTCTCGCAAACACAAGAGGCTGCGGCGCCGATGAGGACCTCCTCTCTGTGGCGACGGCCGCCTCTCTCTCTCCCTCTCCCTCTCCCTCCCGCTCATCGTCGGCGTCTGACTTGATGCGCACTGCCGTGTCGAGATAGTAGGATGCCGGTGGGAAGGGCCGGTCTGTCGAGAGAGTGGCCGTGAAGACGCTCTCCTCGATGACTAGGTCGTGAAGGCTCACACATATGTCCAGCAACCCAACAGCTGGGGGCAAAGGGGGAGCCGGCGCCACCTCTCCTTGCTCAGCCTGATCGGCCTCTATCGCCTCACCAGAGAGAACCACGGTCTCTAGCTGCCGCAAAGGGCATGTGGCGGCCACGCTGCTGCCGGTGAAGACCGTCTGGAAGACTGGCGGGACGGGCCCGCTGTGCCTCTGCCGCTGGTAGGAGACGGTGAGGGCGAGAGAGGAGGGGCTGCTGTGTGTGTCGGTGAAGGGGATGGCTTTGGGCAGGTGGGCGCCCACCTGGGCCTGCAGCGAGTCCAGAGAGCCGATGAAAGAAAGCGCCTCCACCTTGTGCAGCCGCGCCGTGGCCACCACACTGCCCCCGTGCTGCTGCTGTCTGGCCGTCGACCGACCATTGTCGTGGTCGCCATAGCTAACCAGATACACCAGCAGCAGCCACTCGCACTCGCCGAGCAGCGCTGGCAGGTCCAGGTGCACCGATGTGGCGAACTGGTGGCGGATCTTGAGGCCGATCGGGACCTCCCTTGCTGTCGCCTCCTGCTGCTGGTGGTGGTTGTGGTCGAGCACACCTGTGATGCAGCCTTCGCTGCTGCTGAATATCTCGCACTGCAGCCGCAGCTGAGAGGGGACCACCGCACCGGAGAGGTGGAGCGACGAGAGGGTCAGCACGAGGGTATGCTGCTCGTACTCCCCGATCAGGCCCAGCAGCACCGGCACACTCATGACCTCCGAGCCGCCCTCGCCCTCTCCCTCACCCCCACCGGCCTGCTCGCCCTCCCTGGCGGCCCTCTCCTGTGCTTTGGGCATGTAGGCACTCGCCACCCAGTCACACAGCTTCATCAGCGCAATCCCCACCGAGTTGTCCAGGTAAGACCCGTTCTCACGCCCATGGTAGAAGAGCGCGGCCGTCACCGACTCCCGGCGCACCCAGCCTGAGTGCTGGTGCGCCCTCAGCTCGGCCGCAATGGCGCTGGTGCGTGTGTGGAGTTTGGTGCGTGCGGATGAGAGCAGCAGCTCCTGTGAGGGAGGGGGCGAGGAGGGAGGGCGGTCGAGGGTGGGTGTGAGGGAGGGGGGAATGTCCATATGCTGCCGCATCAGAGGCGGAGGCTCGATGTCCAGCAGGTGGTAGTGCGAGATCAGGAGGGCCTCGCACTCCTCACGCCCGACGTCGTGGATGTCGTCGCTCCCCAGCTGGTTGCGCATGAGCTTCTGCCACACACCCAGGAGGTTCCTCGGCACACCCAGGTCCTCAAAATGCCGCCAGAACACGCTCAGAGGGACCCTCTGGCCAGTGATGGCGGGGAGGCCATCGTCCTGTGAGGCGGCTGAGGTTGGTGCGGGGAAGAGCCTCGGCAGCTGTGTGGCGAGGTGGGGGAACCTCAGTTGCATGAGTGTCTGGAAGTCTGTGTGTGTGATGTGGACGTCGGGGACGTTGTCTGATGGCTCGTCTGCGGGGTGGGACCTGACGATGGACTGCAGGTCGAGACTCCGGAGGTACCCGCGGTTGTCCGTGTCGAGGCGCCTGAAGACCTGCACACACACACACACACACACATGAACGAACACCCATGCGGCCATCCATCCAGCAGCCATATCGGGGCGTTCCGTTCTCGGCGCACCTGTTCGAGGGAGGTGCCGCTTCTTCTGATTGAGTGCAGCACCCGCTCCAGTATCAGCAAAATGGCGCTGCTCGACAGCAGCCCGTCCATGGCTGACGAGGCATCACGTGGCGGCTGCTCCTGATCCCCAGCTGCTGCGATCATGGGCCTACTCTCCTCCTCTCCAGCCCCCCTGACCGACGATGAATCGACCTGCGGATGGCGAGAGGGCGGCGGCTGGGGCGAGGCTGCTTTGCTCGCGCCCTCGGCCGTCGTCAGCATGTGCCGATGCACCAGCCGCAGCACGTCCAGGTTGAGAATGTCATCCACCTGAGCAATACATCAATCACCTTTTTTCATTTTGATTGTCGCCATGCTCGACTCAAACTCAGCTCACCCTCACCTCTCTGCGGACGAGTGCCAGGCTGAGGTCTCTCCCAGGGAAGGGATCGGCATACGTGTTGATGGCCTCGGCGAGTTTCTTGCGCCACCTCTCCCCCGCCGGCCCGTCAAGAGAGCATCCGCCCTCCCTCTCACGCAGACGGTGGCCGTGCTCGGCGGCGATGACCCTCAGCTCCTGCTTGTAGGACTGGCACTGCTCGCTGAGGGCCTGGTGCAGCTCGTCCAGGTGGAAACCTTCCAGCGGCTCGAGGGCTCGGAAGTCGTGCATCATCGAGTCGTGGGAAGCAAACCTGACCCACACGTAAGGAACAGAACACAGAATGGGTCGTCGACTGATGGATGGATGGATGTGTCTTATGCTTATGTCGTGTGTACCGTTCGAACAGCACTTGGCAGTCGGCTTTGCTGAACATGCCGGGCAGCACGTCCCGCGCGGACGCCACCAGACAGGCCAGGAAGGGGTGCTCCTCGGCCGAGCCACCGGTGACCCGCCTGGCCACCATCGACTGCAGCGAGTGGATGTAGTCCTCCGGCAGGTACCCCGCACCACGCAGACACCGGTAGAGCCGCACCGTTACGCACTCAGCCAAAGCGAGCCGGAACTCTCTGCTCGCCAACAGCTTGGCCGTCGCGGCCATCCATGTGGGTGAGGCACTGAGCGACTCGTACGCCGCTTTGATCGCGCTCTCGTCGGGCGGCCGGTCGGGCAGCAGACGGGCGATGAGTGCGCTGAATCTGGTGCGCGAGATGGGTGTGTCGCTCTGGTGGTCGGTGTTGTTGAGCCGGAGTATGTCTTCCATGAGCATGCCGCGGCGGATGACGGCCTCCCGGACGGCCAGCCATACCCCCGCCGCTCCCTCCCCCTCCCCCTCTCCGTGCCTCTCCTCCCTCTTGGTCTTGACGTTGAGCACGGCAGCCAAATCGAGATCTGACAGGTCCGTCATCACAGCTGCAGCTGGGCCCTCCTCGCCGCTGCTGTCATGCATCTTGCCCGCCCGGTCGAGGACGTCTTTGAATATGGCCATATCGATGGTCTCGCCGTGCTGCTCGTCGGCCGCTGCGGCTGCTCCTCTGGGCGTCCTTCTGCCGTGCAGTGACCGAGATGCGGTGGTCAGGCACCGACACAGCCGATCGACGTCACGCAGGGAGGCCTCGCAATGGGGGGCAAGCAGCAGATGGAGCGCATGCACGAAGAGAGACGATGGGATGCTGGTGGGGGTGGCATTGCTGTCGCCGCCGTCTTCAGTGCGGAAGAGGTCTTCTGGTGAGAGGTGCAGCCGGGAGAGTGCCCGTGTGGTGGCCTGGAGGGTGGTGTAGACGGATGTCTGATATGAGGCGAAGCACCGGTCCAGTTCGGAGAGGAAGATGCGCCCGCGGCCCTCACGGTCGAGCACCTGCAGATCAGATCAGATGAGGGAGGGATGGACCAAGAGAGGCAAAATGACATGTGCCTGTGTGGCGAGGGTAGGGAGGGTAGGGTGCAGTGTTGTCTTGTGGTGTCTTGTGTGTGACCTTGAGGGAGTCCCCGAATTCGTCTAGTGGCATGTTGAACCCCTTGGCGGCGAAGGCCTCGTGCAGCTCGTCCAAAGACACATGACACGAGGAGGAACCATCGGCACCCTCACCACCACCGTCACTGTCGCCATAGCTGACACACCACACCACAACACCGATTTTCAACACGCGTGTGCTCGCCGGCCTCTCTCTTTCTCCCTCTCTCCATCCATCCATCCGGTATGTCTCTCACCTGCCGCTGCTGACGCAAGATGATGGCATGGCTGACGGCATCTTGGCAAGCCATGCGCCCATGACGTCACCGAGGTGGTACAGCGACAGTGCCTGTGCCTCGCCGAACCACGCAATGAGGTCCTGGTAAGTCATTGGGGGGGCCGCTGATGCCGGTGGGTGTGGGTGTGTGTCGGTCCTGCCCATGTTGGGCTGCAGTGTGAAGGAGGGGTGCGCTGCGGTCCACTGCGCCAGGGCCGTGACGTCCAGCCACACCGATTCCATCGCTGCCGCCTCCAAACCAAAGGCACGCTCCAATGACTCCAACACCTGTCAGCACCAGAGAAAGGGGCACGAGTGTAACATCCATCCACCATCCCATCCACCTCACACCCACACGCAATACACACGCACACACACACACACAGACCTGCTGTCGAGTTGTGTCGTCAGTGGCTGGCGAAGCCAGTGGCAGGTTTCTCTCTGAGAGTGCGTCGAGCATCTTGCTCTCGGTGCCGCAGCAGGCCAGCCGCATGTAGTGCCAGCCCGTCTCGAGGGTGTTGGTGAGGGAGGGGGTGAGGGAGGGCGGCAGGGGCGCCGTCGACCGCCGCTTGAGCGCCCGTCGCGTGGCGTTCCACCAGTGGCGGAAGCGGGGGTAGTGCACTAGGTGGCTAGTGTCCTTGGTGGCGGAGGACGGCAGGCACAGGAAGGGTACTATGGACTTGACCGCCTGACAGACACAGACAGATATTCTTAAAGCATTGCAGCAAGGAAACGTGTGTTGTTCAATCTTTGTGTGTGTATACCGGTGGATCGAGCTGCAGGAAGTTGCGCAGGAGCCCCTTGATCCGCTCCTCCCCCACACCAAGAGTGAAGACGCTCCTGCCGTCCTTTCCCCCTCCCCCTGGCTCCCCTGCCTCCCCGCCGCACCGTACGAGTGCCGCAAACACCACCTCACTCGGCATCGACAAGAACCGCTTCAGTAGCGCACCCCGCCCGCCATCAGGCAACGCCCCACACACCAGCGCCCCACCTGCGCCAGCCTCACCCGCCTTGGCCCTCACTGCCGCACTCAACGACGGTATGTCGATCGGCATCGACGGCAGGTCGCCTGGGGTGATGATCCGCCGCTGCCCGGCCAGCGGGGAGAAGGCCGACAGGGCGAGAGAGAGGTCCGCTTGGGGAAGGGAGATGTGGGCCTTGTGTAGCACGTCGGTGACGCTGCTGGCGTCAGCTGACGCGGCCGGGATCGCACTGAGCGCCGTCAACACCGATTGGCGGACCGGCCAGATCGCCTCCACCAGCCGGTTGGCAGCGTCCCGCGCCAGGCTACCGCCATGGATGGACACTCTGGCAAGCGCCTTGTCGATCATCTCTGTCGTGATTCGGCCGGTGGAAGGATCGCCGATGGCCTCCAGGCCCTCCACAGCGGCGAAGAGGCCGCACCTGATGCCGAGAGTGCTCCACACGCCCACCAGCCGGCCCTCGATGGTGGCAATCTGGGCCTCAATGGCGCCTTTGGATTGTCGGGTGGCCCACAGCGCCTGATAAGCCGAATTGAGGGATGATGCTGCGGTGTCTACGTCGACCCGGCCGCACAGGACAGCCGCCTTCAGCCGCAGCAACACACCCAGCTGCAGCAGCGGGCCAGAGGCAGAGCCCCCTGCTGCTGCTGCTGCTGCTGATGCTGTCGCCTCTCTCTCGGCGCCCAAAGCTTCTCCTCCCCTCTCACCGGCCGGGGGGGCTTTCTCTTCGCCAGCTGTGGCTTTGGCGCTGGAGATGGGCTGCCGTGAAGTCCAATACCGTTGGTAGCCGTCGACGAGAAGGGATGAGGGGATGGAGAGCGACGGGGATGCGCCGACAGTGACAGTGTCGTGTGGGGGTGCGGCTGCGGCTGGGGGCAGGGCGAGGTAGCGCGCGAGCCGCTGCAGCTCGCTGCGGGTGGGCAGCTGGACTGTAGCCGATGCTGGCAGTGTCGCTGCCGGCTGCTGCACCTCATCATCTTGACGATCGTCATCTGCACAAGGGAGAGGTACAGAGAGGGGGGAGGATCACTCACAGACGCCCCGCACTCACCCCTGTGTGGCGATGATGCCGACTGTTTGTCGGCGTCTGTGAAGAGCTGGTTGATGGCGAGAATGAAGGCGTCCTTGGAGACTCGGTCGCCTCGAGGGTCGCCGGCCGCCCTGCGCTCGGCGAACATGTTGACGATCGAGGCCACGTGGAGGGGCGGCACACGCAGCTCCCACAGGGCCGTGAACACCTTGAGCAAGATGTGCTTCGCCCTGTCAGTCACGACACATACACACACACAGAGACAGTCTCCATGTGTTGTGCTGTGTTGTGTTGTGTTGTGTTGGGCTCTGCTGTGTCGCTTGCGCGTGTGTGTGTGTGTGTGCGTCTGTCCTTAGTTACTGACTTGACTTGTGCGTGTCTGTGTCTGCCGATGGCGTAATACACCATTCGCTCCAGCTCAGTCAGGTCCACCCAGCCGCCCTCCTGCCCGTCCACCACCCGCCACAGCCCCTCGACGCTCTGAGGCGAGCACCCCACACCCACGCGACGCAGGAAGCCGACCAAAGCACCCGGCCGCAGCACGCCTCTGCCGCCCTGGAGCTTCTGCCACAGACCCTCGATGCGAGCCAGCTTCCCGTCTGCATCTGTGTCGGTGCGTGGCGGTGTTGGAGGTGAGGGTGCTGCTGCGAGGTTGGCGATGGCCTCGTCTGCCTGGCGCTCGAGGTCGTCGAGGTAGGCCCCGAGCTTGACAATATCGATGGCGTCTGCGTCGAGGATGCGATCGGCCTCCAAGGACTCTGTCAATGTCTTGGTGCTGCGGGTGGGTGGGCAATCGACAGGGAGAGAGAGGGGACAGGGGAGAGGGAAGGTGGTCTGTGTCTGTGTGTGGGTGGGTGGGGGGGAGTGGGTACGGTACCCACCTGTCAGCTGCAGTTTGTTCGATGATGTCCTCGACGAGTGCGACCACCTCGTTGTGTGCGATGCCCTTGCGCTTCAGATTCTCGGACAAATGCCTACACACCCACACAGACCAACACACACACACACACACACACATCAATGCCTTAAGGATGTGTGTGTGTGCGTGTGGTGTGCTCACGATAGTCTGACGTGTCCGGTGGTGCGATCCATCCCCGGGGTGACGTCACACAGCTGCACACACCGACACAGCAGCTGCTGCCGGGCAGACAACAACGCCTTGCGCGACGAACGGCCACCTGCACACACACACATACACCAAGGAGAGGGAGGGGGCGAGGGAGAGAATCTCACACACACATGAGTGATGTGGCTGCTGGATGTGCCAGCAGTTAGTTACTTTTGGTTCTGTGCTTGGGCGGTGGTTGGAGGCTGGCGGGGTCGAACGACCCCTTGAGGTCGTCCTCAGACACGGCGTGAAGCGACAGCTCCACCGCACCTGAACAAACCGACAAACCGAATCGACATGAATGCGTCTCTCTCTCTCTGTATGGCCCTCCCCCCGTCCTTCTCACGACTGACTCACCTGCCATGCCCTCTAACTCGCCGCTGCCCTCCAACTCACACCACTCCCGACACAGGTACACGCCCACAGACGAGGAGGGGACCTTCCTCCCATCACCATCACCCTCCCTCTCCGCCCCAGCGGCAGCACCAGCACCAGCACTCGTCTCTCTCAGCTGCTGCACCGACCGCCCCTTGAGGGCCGGCACATCCACAGCCACATTCCCGAGCAGCACGGGCTCGCGCCCATCGGTTGACTCCCACGCCTGGACGGTTATCTGTGGGTGTGTGGGGGGCAGTGGCTGGTCCTCTGGTGATGGCTCAGGGGGCGTGGTGACGGTCCAGAAAGGGGCGGTGGACTTGCTGACCAAGTGGGGGGCGGCCGATTGTGTGGAGGGCTCGATGGCTGCGACGGGAGTCTCGTACTTCTGACAGACCAGCAAAGGATGGGTGGGGGATGGATGGATAGATGTGTGCAGTCCCTCGTTTACCTGGTCGGTGCCCATTCGGAAGCTAAAGTAGAGTTTCCTCCTCCTCTGCGTGTGGGGGATGGCGGGGTGCCCCACCAGCTGCACCCGCTCCACACATGCGAACAGGTGCACACCCTTCACCACAGGCTCCTCGGCCTCGCCCTCGCCCTCATCTGCCGCTCCCTCCTCATGTGCCGCCGAGTAGTGGGGCTGCTGCTGCTGTGCGTCTTCTCCTCCTCTGTGTCTGCTCTCCGCTCCCTCCTCGAGGAGCTGGACGGTCAGGTGCAGCCTGGCGATGATGTCTATGTCGTTGTGGTGGTGCTGGTGGAGCGAAGGAGAGGTGCGGCGGACAAACAGGGGCGGGGGGCTGATGAAGGGGTCCCGAAGGGCTACGGTCGTGCTGCACGTCCACCTACACACACGCACATATACACACACACACGGTGTGCTATCCTATGGAGGCTTCCACTGACCCTGGCGAGAAGAGCACCCTCATGCCGTTGAGCTGCCCCTGTGCCAATGCCTCAGACCCAGCGGGCAGCCCCCACTCCTTCGCGAGCTCAATTGCCTCGCCCCCGCCGCCACCTCCAGTACTACCGTCCTTCTGCCCCTGGCTCGGCTGCCGCAGCAACGCACCCCTCGCACCCACACCAGCAGCACCACCGGCACCAACGGCACCGCCGCCGCCCTTTTTCTGTGCAGGGGGGGTGGGCACCCGGCCCTTAGACACTGCTGGCTTCTTGGCCGTCGCCTTGGGTGTGTGTCTCGGGGTGGTGGTCTCCTGCCGCACCACGGCGAGGCGGAAGGTGAAGCCTTCGTCTGCGAGCTTGGGGAAGGCGCCTCCCTCCTGCTGGTGCTGGTGCTGGTGCTGGTGGTGGGCCGTCATGCACTCGCTGAGCAGGTCGACAGGGTGCTTGGACGAGGCGAAGTTGAGCGAGAGGTCGTGGGGGGATGATGCTTGTGATGATGATGCTGTGTGGGTGGCGGGGGGGATGGGGTACTGGCAGCGGACCTCCTGGGGTGGCAGAAGGGGGCGTGTGTCCGTGTCGTGGGTGGGGGCGTGGGCCGCTGGCATGGCTGGGGCTGGCGCGGGGAACGAGTAGGCCATGTAGAAGAGCCGCGGCTGGAGCTTATCGAGAACCTGACACACACCACACCACACCGACAACACCACACACGAACAACGTCGCCAAGACATAGACAGGTATATCTTCAGGCGCCCCCACCCCCCCGCTCTCATTGCTCACCTGCCATCCCCTCTCGGTGAATTCGAGCCTCCTCAGCTGGACGGACACCTCCGTGACCCTGGCCAGCACTCCAGGTACGTCACGCGCTATCGGCGCCACACCGACACCCATGCCAACGCCCACATCTCCGGACGACGGGCCCACTGGCGGCGGGGGCATGGCTGAAACTGGTGCCGCAATGGGCGGCGGGGGGATGAGCGGCATCGGACCCCCACCCTCTTCATGACGGTTGTGGTCTTGCTGCTCAGCTGCAGCAGCAGCAGCAGCTGTCTGTTCTTGTGCTGTGGCGGCGACGGGGGCAAGGGGCTGTGGCTGTGGCTGTGGCTGCTGCTGCATGGCTGCAGCAGCAGCGGCAGGGGGGAGTGGTGGTCCCTCTTGTGAGGGGCCTGGTGAGGGTGACGGCATGGGTAGGGGCTGCGGCGGTGTGCCGCCCATCGACAATGTCCCCTTCTGCAAGACGCCACGCAGCAGCGAACCTGCAACCAAACCCACACAGATCCCCCCATAGCTGCGTTCGCCCTTGTGTGTCTGTGAGCTCATCATCTCATCATCCCCACCTGAGTGCAGGAGTTTCCTCAGTGCACTCGCTTTAGCCACGTTGCCCCCCGCAGCGGCATAGGCCATGGCGTGCTCACGCACCGGCAAAGACACAGAAGTGGACGCCAGCTGTCGCGTCTGTGTCTGTGTCTGTGGAGGCGGTGGGGGCTGTTGCTGTTGCTGCTGCTGCTGACGTGGCGGTGCAGCCACCAGGGCCCGCTCACGGTCGAGTCGCGTGTCGGTGGCCGGCATGGGCATTGGGGGCGGGCAGGGCTCGTCCGGGATGTGGTAGGGGGACGGCTCATTTTCCAGCCGATACTGCTGCTGATGCTGCTGGTACTGCTGCTGGTGGTGGTGGTGGGCCATGTGTGGTGTGCCTGTGAGGGAGGAAGGAGGGGGCTGGTCGAGAGAGTCAGCCTGTTGGGGGTCGTAGTGGGGGTTCTGCAGAGCGACCACCATCCGCACGCTCGCGGCGCCGAGCACGGGCATCGGGGTGTGTGGGCCCTCACCGCCACATGTCAACACGCTGCACGGCCTGATGTACACACGCCTACACACACACATCCATCCATCCATCCATGTGTGTGTGCATCTCTTTGTTTGTGTGGCTCACTCCACTCACTGGTCGCTCTGCGCCCAGATGTGCATCTGCGGGCCGCCCGGCTGCGGCACCCTCATGCGCCTGTCGAGGTCGTGCCATCCCGTTTGCAGTTTGTGTGCCAGTTCGGCCAGCATGATGGGGAAATAGCCCCTGGGCTCGTCGTCGCCCCCGTCCAGCGAGTAGACTGTCACCTTCAGGTAGTGCTTGTCGCGCATGTGGCTGAGAAAGGCGGCGGGGTCGCCGCACACGGGGAATAGGAGGGTGCGGCAGTTCTGGTACCCGGGCGACGGCTGGCAGCGCACCCTGACACACACACACACACACACACACACACAGAGGTAGATGGGACAACAATCAATCAGTCCATCGTATCGTGTGGCTGATCTATCTGTGTTGCCTGCAGGCCCCACGTGCAGGTGTGTGGGTCGAGCGAGTCGTCCCAGAGGATGGCATATGCGGGGGTCTTGAGGAAGACCGGCAGCAGCCCGCGATACTGCACATCCACCTCCAGAGGCGCAACCGTGATCTCAAACACCCCGATGGGCTCGCCGCCCTCGCCGGGCGGCAGGGCCATGGCCGATGTTCCCATCGATATCTCTCTCCCGTCGCCGCAGCCGGAGAATAAAGGATAAAGAGGAAAAGGGCAGATCAGTCACCAGGAGGAATGAAGAGTCTTGCTACTCATCTCATCGTCCATCCATCCATATCTCCCGTCAGTCGTTCGGAAGCTGCAGCCGATGAAGGCCGTGAGCAGCCGATTCCATGGCCTTTTCGCGCTGCATTCTGCTACAGACGCTCGCTGCATCCTGTCACCCATCAGTCACGGCTGCTTTCTCCAACGCAGCTCCTTCTTTGCGAGCTAAGCTTCCGAGGTGAAGCGTTGTTCTGCCAAATGCAGCTTCATTTCATCCGCTTGGTGCTGACATGGACTCTGATCTCATGCTGGGCCACAGATGCGCTCGCCTTCCTCTCTGCTCTCGTGCGCCAAGCTGCACCACACCGGACTCGGCGGCGGAGCGTCGTCCGGGCAGCCAGCAAGGCGCACGGGGAGCACAAATCGCTCAAGGAGAGAGAGGTCCGGCAGATGCATCGACAAAAGAGGAAGATCTGTGCATCTGCGCTTGTGTGTGTGTCTGGCTTGTGGCGTCAATATATTCCATTAGGGTCTGAAGCTGAAGCCCACGGTGTGGACGGAGTTCCAGGGGCTGGCAAGGGAGACCCAGGCCGTCAACCTGGGCCAGGGCTTCCCCAACTGGCAGCCGCCCTCATTCGTTCTCGCCGCTGCACATGGAGGTTCGTGAAGAAGGTTATCTCACTCAGCTGAGATGTGGTGGGCCGCTGGATGTGTGTGTGTGTGTGTGTTGTGCAGCGTTGACCGGTCCTCATCACCAGTACACTCGGACAGCCGGCCATCCCCCTCTGGTGGAGCTGCTCGCAGAGAAATACTCGCGACACTTTGACAGGTGCGTCGTACACGCGACGGACGATGCAGCCACGTGTGTGTGTGTGTGTGTGTGTGTTTGCAGGGATATCGACGCCGACACTGAGGTGGCGGTGACGATCGGCGCCTCCCAGGCCCTCTACGTGGCCATGCAGAGCCTCCTCTCGGCAGGCGATGAGGTCATCCTGATGGAACCTTTCTTCAACCTCTACGACGTACGTAAGAAGCTGTCCCAGACACACAACACACCCAAACCCACACCACACTCGCAATCCAATCAATCGACAGAGAGAGTGAGAGTGTGTGTGGATGTGATGTCACTCATCAGGGCCAGGTGCGTCTGGCAGGTGGTGTGCCGCGTTATGTGCCGATGGACTGGCGTGAGGGCAGTGGTGGGCAGCGGGGCAGCTGGAGGGTCGACTTCGATGTCCTCAGACAACAGATCAACCCACTGTGAGTAAGCCACACAGATAAGGGAAGGGAGGAGGCCGGTGCCGTCGAGTCGAGCATACTGTGTGTGGTGTGGTCAGGACGCGATTGATCATCCTCAACACGCCGCAGAACCCCTCAGGCAAAGTCTGGGAGAGGTGGGCAGGGCACGCACACACACACACACACACTCACCCTCGTTTGTGTGTGCCATCCATCCATCCATCCATATCAGGTCTGAGCTCGAGGAGCTGGCGTCGATCGTCCGTGAGCACCCCAACCTGATGGTCATATCAGACGAGGTCTACAAATTCATGGTCTTCGACGAACCATCACAAACAGCAGCAGCATCACCACTACCAGCAGCATCAGCAGGAGAGGCAGATTCCGACAGCAGCGATGACGGCGAGGGCGAGTACAGGGGCAAGCCCGCCGGGCACATCCACTTCGCGTCTCTCCCTGACATGTGGGAGCGCACCCTCACCGTATCCAGCGCTGGTAAATAACCCTCCACACACACACACACACACACGCACACACGCGGGATCAAGGCATTGCGTGTGTGTTTGGCGGTTTATCGGATGCTTTGCAGGCAAGACGTTCAGCATCACGGGGTGGCAGGTCGGTTGGCTCGTGGGGCCGGCCCAGTGGCTGACGAGGGTGCAGCTGCGGCTCCCCTTTATGCAGTTCTGCGCACCCACACCACTGCAACAGGCCCTCTGCAACGTGCGGACGAACGCGTCAACTCACACCAGACAGACAGACAGACAGACAAAGGGGCTGGCTGATGTGTGTGGATGTGTGTGCAGATACTCACAGAGGCCAGCGAGCCGTACCGCGAGTTCTCGACCTACTACGACTGGCTCAGACACGAGTACCAAGACAAACAGGCAGGGAGGCGCACACACACACACATCCATCCCCCCATATCTGTCGGTCGGCGATCGGATCTGTGGTCAGGGCAAGTTGTGTGCGGCGCTTGAGAGGGCGGGCATCGAGGCCCGGCCCGGCAACGGGGGCTTCTTCGTCATGGCAGAAATACACGTGGGTGTGTTGGGTATGCGGCTGCATTGCATCCATCGGCACGTCGCATAGCGTAGACAGCCGGCTGCTTGTGTGTGTGTGTGTGTCAGAACATCGCTGTGCCTGACCATTACCTGAGGGAGGGCACCCCCGCCAGACCCGAGATGACCAGGGACTGGGCCTTCTGCAGGTCTGTACACCACACCGCCCGCTCCAGTCCGATGTGTGGCTTATGTCTGTCAAGTGTCCAGGTGGTTGGCCAAGGAGATCGGTGTGGTGGCCATTCCGGCCTCGGCCTTCTACTCGATGGAGAACAGACATAGAGGGGAAAACCTCGTCAGACTCGCTTTCTGCAAAACCGACGACGTCCTCGACGAAGCTGCCAGGTCAGGTGGACGGACACACCACATCACCCACCCTACCATCCCACTCACACACATGAGTGCTCTCTCTCTCTCTCTGTGTGTGTGTGTCTAGGCGTCTGGAGCGTGTCGCAGAGTTCCGTCGCCTGGACAGCGGTGCGAGCAGTGCCCACACACTCACTGTCACTGGAGCCCTCCGGGGTGAGGTGACCTGAGCCAGACAGAGCCGATGTGGTGTGGTGGGCGGGGGACCGTGCTGTGGGGCGGTGTGGTGTGGCGGGTGGGCCTGTATAGCTGAGTGAGAGCATGGTGAGGCTGATGCCTATCTGGTCTGCTGTGGGACAGACAACTATGTGGTGGTGTGTGGTGTGACGCGAAGCGAACGACACTTGTGGTGCGTGTGCCATGATCGTGTGTGTATAGCTGCCTGCTTTGACACTAAGCGAGTGCCCGGCCGCACTAAAGCTCGTTGTTGAAGCTTCGATGCGCTGCGCTGCTCATGCGTGTGTGTCTCTCCAGTCCGATCCATCCATCCGTATGTCTCTGTTGCTCTCGCTCGCTATCATACCTCTCCGAACAGACAGGCAGCCAGGCCACTTGCACCCAGACACACACTCACACACGGGGCAGAGAGATAGCATGAGACGAAGTAGCCAGCCAGCCAGCCAACCGGACGTCGTGTAGGAGGGTGCTGCGTCGTGTGCGTCAAGGGCTGATGCCGTCGGTCAGCCAGGCATAGCATACTGTCATCTCAGCTTATCTGATCTGCCTTCTACCTTGCCGTCACACATCCATCCATCCATCCATCCACTCTTCCAGACAGACAGACAGACAGTCAGCCAGGCGGCCCGTCAGGTGGGCAAAGAAAAAATCCCAACACACACACCAGCCAGCCAGCCATCCGGTGCATTGAAAGTCGCCCTCTTATCTGTCTGGATCTCCCCCTCTATCTCTCTCTCCCTGTCCCTCCCTGCCGCCTCTCTCTGTTCTCAGTCACGCTAACGAGAAGATACAATATGCAATCAATCCTCCAGTCAGTCAGTCAGTCAGTCTGCCTATCAGTCATATCAGCCCCCCCGCCCCTCGCCCTTAATTCGGTGGGTGTGGTGGGTGGATCAATCAAACTACACTGTCGATCGTTGCAATGCATGCACTGGAATGAAATGTGTGTGTGTGTGTGGATGGCTAGACGAAGAGCGATAGTGCGCGTGCTGCTGCGGCCTGGCAGATGGGGCAGAGACGATCTTCCGCCTGAGTCCGGCTCATGATGTTGTTGGAGCACTGCTGGCACACGCACAGGTGTCTCTGAGACACACACCACCACACACATAACCTCTCTCTCAGAGCGCTTGTGTGTCTGGCCTGTTCTTTTCTCACACATGGAAGGAAAGCGACGCACTTGTCCCGCTCGAAGCAGACGCAGCACTGCTGCTTCTCATCGTGCTTGTCTTTGGCCTCCTTCAGCTGCGCATCGGCCTCCTTCTTGATCTGGTCATTCTCCGCCTGCATTGTGTCCTGGACCGTCCTCAGGTGCTCCTGGAAGTGCCGCTCCCGCTCCTTGGTCTGGAGGTCCGTCTGCTTCACCATCTCCTGCATCTGCTGCTCCATCATCTGGGCCTTGCAGTTGGCGGCGGCGGCCTTCTGGTTGGCAAAGGCGACGCGGAAGTCCGTGGCGCGGTCTTTGAGCTTCTCCATGTGCTTCGCGACGTGCCTGCTGGCTTGCGTCAGCTGTTCCAATCGAGCCTCGTCGTGGAGGGACTGGATCTCCTGCTGCACGGCGTCAGTCATCTGGCCCTCACTGCTATGACTGCACACACACAGAGACAGGAAGAGAGAGAGACGTGACGCCCATGACACCCCCCACCCACCCCCCATGTGTCTCTGTCCTCTTTCGACTCACCCGAACTGCAAACTCATTGCGGCAACGTACTCCCGCTGAAGCTGCGCCAACATGTCCCCTCCACCCACACCCACACCCACACCCACACCCCAGCCGCCAGCCACTCCCTGCCCCATCTGCACCTGCTGCTGCTGCTGCTGCATCGGCTGCTGCATCATGTCTAAGGACGACCCGCTGTGCGAGAAGTGTCCACTCTGGAAGGGCGTGCCCGGGGATGCCGACGGAGACGCACCAGCGGGCGGTAGGGGGCCGGATGGGATCATGCCTGGGGGTCCAGCGCCAGGGGGCACCATGCCCGGGGGCGCGGTATGCATGAAGGAGGGAGAGGGGCCGGGCTGCTGGTACGGAGCTGCTGCCACGTTCTGAGAAAACCTGCATACACACAGAGAGAGACCAGAGATGCAGCGTGGCGTCGCGTGGCGTGGGTGTCCATCCAACCATCCATCCCAGTGTGTGTGTGTGTGTGTGTGTTGCTGGTGCCTTACTGCTGGTTCGCGAACGGCGGCTGCATCTCAGGGGAGGGCTGGGGATGGCCGTACTGCTGCTGCTGCTGCTGGCGTGGGGCCTGCTGCTGATGGCGCACGGGGCACACAATGTGCTCTCGAAGATGCTCCTGCTGTGCGTGCAGCTCAGCTGCATGGCCAATCCCAATCCCCATGTCCATCCCGCCATAGCCCGGCTTGCCCACAGCCATGCCGCCCGTGTGCATGATGCCCCCAGGGATGAAGGGCTTTGTGTCGTGTGTGAGGTGGTGCGGGCCGGGTGAGCCGCCGAGCGATGAGGTGGAGGGGAGGGAGCCATCGGCGTGGTACATGTTGGGCTGGAGCATGAGAAGGTTGTGGAGGTTGCTGGAGGCGAGACTCGGCGACGAGGCGGACGGCTGGTCGCCGGAGCACGAACCGTTACCCCTACACGGCACGACACACAAAGAGAGATAAAGTGCGTGGTGCTTTCGTGTGTCTGTCCTTCTTTGTGTGTGGTGTGTGTGCAAGGCTTACACGTCCTCCTGCTGAGTCGGTTCCTGAGCCTCTCCCTCTTCCTCGTCAAACATGTTACCTTGAAACTCAGGGACCTCCTCACCCTCACCCTCACCCTCCTCACCACCGACGCCCTCGCCATATTCGCCACCATACCCCTGCTGGTCGTCTACCTGGTCGTGGTCATCGAAGGCCACACGCAGAGGCTGCTCGCCATCGCTATGCTGCCAGGGGGAATGGGCCATCTCAGGCACCGCCGCCGCGGCCGCAGCAGCGGGGGGGAATGTGGGTGCGCGGGATGGGTGGGCGTACTCGCCGCTATTGCCGTGGTTGTCGTCACCAAAGTTGCCCCACCCATCACCCTCACCCTCACCCACCGCCACGCCCACACCCAAACCTTGCTGCTGCTGCTGCTCCTCGTGCACCGTGTCGCCCTGCTGCACCTCCTCGGTGTCGTCGAGGTTGCTGCTGGTGGAGGGCCCAGGGTGGACCAGGTCGTCCCGCTCGTGGTCTTGGTCTTGCTCCTGGTCGTCCTCCTGCTGCTCGTTCTCGTGGTCGTCATCCTGCTCCTGCTCATGGTCTTGGTCGTCGGCGTCGGGAGTGTTGGCGGCATCTGGGTGCTTGGGCCCCTTGTTCTTGGCCCCGCCCCGCTTGCCGAACTTCTTCTTGCCTTTGCGCTTCTTCTCGCCCCCACCCCCTGGCTGCTGCGGCTGGTTGGGCTGGTTCTTGGCTTTGGGGTTGTTGACCCCACCGCCACTACCGGCAGCAGCTGCAGCAGCAGCCCCCTCCAGAGCGAGGAGCTCCGCTTCGGCCCGCTTGGCCCTGGCCTCGTCCTTCGCTCGTTTCTGCAACTCCTTCTCGACCTCCTCGGGCGACTTCTGCTTGTCCTTCTCTGGTCCCGCCTCGCGACGCTCCTTGTCGCGCTGCTCGTATCTGCGCTGCAGGCGGGCCACGGTCTCGCCACGGGGGGCGGCCTTGGGCTGCTGCTGACACACACCAACACACAAAGACACAAACACAACACACAAGATGGCAGACGTCAATGCCATGTGGCTGGGGAGTGGGCGTGGCGTACCTCGGCGAAGGCATGGAGGACGTCCTTGTCTTGGACGGCCCCGCTGCGCAGCTGCTGCATCAAGGCGCCAGAGGGGTCCCTGACACACAAAACAGCACACACAGAGAGAGACACGATAGGTGGATGAGGTCCTCCCTCCCTCTCTCCCTCCCTCCCTCAGGCTCGCCCCAACGTGGCTCACTTGTCATCGGGTGCGGGTTGCTTGCCGGCCTTGCCGCCGCCACCGGTGAGCGGCAGTCGGCTGGCCCGGCGCAGTTGGTCGGTGGGGTCTAGCTTGAGATAGCGGTCGTACTGCTCCATCAGCTGCGTGAAATCCATGGCCCCATCCAGCCACGGAAACGCCCAACGAATCGTGCTAACTGCAGTGCACACACCATCATTCATCCATCCATCCATCGACACAGAGAGAGGGAATATGTCTGTGTCCGGCTCTGTGGATGTCTCTCTCTCTCCCTCTCTCTGTGGGGGAGCGAGGGAGTGCTCTCACTCACATACCGTCCACATTGTCCGCCACAGGAGTGCATCGCCGCAGCTCGTCCAGCAGGAAGACGGACCCCTTGCAGCTGTTGGTGAAGCCGTTGAGGGTCACGTACCGCCCGAAGATGGCCAGTGGCGCCACGTCGTTGTTGAGCTTCTCACTCGAGGCCGGCTCCTGCTGCCGCCCTTTGTCCAGCATGTTGAAGCTTTCCTCGACCTGTCTGTATAGCAACGGCGTCACTGTAGTGGGCTCCATACGACTCTGCACACACAGAGAGAGGGAGAATGGCGGCATGTGGGTGGGGGGAGGGTGCGTGTCCGTGTTGGGAGTTTACGAGTGCGAGGAATGACACGACTTCGTAGTAGAGGTTGTCCGTGAGGCGTCGGTACTCTGCGGCGTTGGCCTCGTTGTTGAAGGAGCCCAGCGTCATGCACTCGTACAATGTGATCGCCTGCACACCATCACCACCACACACCACCACACACAAACAGAGAAATGAGGATCCACATGCACACACACGCATCCCTCTCCCTCTCTGACTCTCTCTCTCTCTCTGTCTCCCTCTTCCTCGGCGTGTGTGTACCTACCTGTTCGATGGTGGTTGAGTAGCGTCGCGGCGCCATGGTGTGGTTGGGCGTCATGTCAGGTATCATGAGCATGCGGCTGAGCATGGGCATGGAGAACATGACGTCCGGCCGGGCCTCCGCAATGCGCTCGTTGATGGTGTAGCCGCGCGTGTACGGCTTGCGCAACGGGGTGAACATCTTCATATACCTGACACACACAGATGGACACACAGAGAGAGGAAGAGAGATGGACGCGCGGTGTCTGTGTCTGTGTGTGACGGGAGTGGGTGCCTACGCTAGCATGATCTCCGGCTGCGATGCGTTCTCCAACAAGTCGGCAAACTGAGCCACTGAACACACAAAACACCGAGCACACAAACCGCACGCAACACATTGATGATACCGCACATGGCTCCCATCTACCCCCCTCTCTCTCTCAGTGTCGACTTACGTGAGGCGTCGATGCCATAGATGGTGCGGATGGTGAGGAGGCTGCCCATGAGGCCCACCCGCCCAGTGGGCCACTGGGTGCACCCTGAGTCGTAGCCCATGTGCTCGTTGACCGCGTCGGCGATCCCCTGGGCCTCGTCGCTCGACAGCGGGCTGTTGTCGTGACCAAACTCATCCTATAACCAACACACAACACACACACACATGGATGGATGGATGGATGTCTCCCTCCCTCCCCCTCCCCCCTCTCGCCCACCCACCAGTGTCTCGAGGATAGCGACGAGGAAGTGCCAGGCGATGTGCGGCTCCCCCTCGGTGGCGAGTTCCTCCATCTTCATGCCGAGGAAGAGGCAGTCGTTATACAAGGCGCCCATGACCTTGCGGTAGCAGCTCGTGTACGGCTCGGTGCCGGGGGCGTCGTGCATGCGACAGAGGTCCCCACACAGCTGGTCGAAGGCACGCTGGTACGCCGACATGCGGTCGCTGTCGGGCGGACGAGTGGGGGTGATGTGCTTGGGCACCGGCGACGCCAGAGGGGGCAGCTCCTTGCCTTCAAACAACGCCATGCGACTGCATACACCACACCCACACACATAACACCACACACGACACAGAGGAGAAACGGTGTCTTTGGGTGGTGGGTGTGAGGGAGAGGGCTGTGTGTGTGAGTGTGTTGGTTACGCCTGGACGGATGCGCGCAGTTCCTCTGTGGCTGAGAGTGTCTCGGTGTCCTTCATCTCCTTCTTGAAGGTGGGGAACTGGGTGGTGGGGTGGTTCACGTCGTCTATCAAGATCTTGACTATGTCATCTGCACACACACACGCCACAACGCACACACAACACACACACAAAGAGATGATGCCCACCACACACACACACACCTCCCCCTCTCCCACTTACCCGGCCAGCACCACCCCGTGACCCTCTGGAGCATGAGCTGCGTGTTCTTCACGTCGTAGTAGCCCCGCACCACCTCACGGAAGTTGGCGAAGATGTCATGCCGGAACAGCATGGGGAAGAACCCCGTGTGGTCGAGGGGCCCCTTGGATGGCGTCCCGCGGCCGTAGGGCAGGGGGGATGGCTTGGGATTCTCCTTGGCGATGGGTACCAGCCGCTCCACCAGGGCCTTGGTGCGGTCCATCGCACACTGCCACGGCTCGTACAGACGCTCCTCCTTGCTAGGACGATTCGCAGCACCACCCTGCACACACCACACACCACACCACCACACACAACACAACACACCACCACACACATCTCTTCCCACGTGTGCAGACGTCTCCCTCTCTCCCCCTCCCCACCCGCACTCACCGCTAGCACAAAGCAGGCGGCCCGTAGGTCTAGCTGCGCCTGGACGGAGTCCTCCGTGCCCAGGTTGAGTTTGTGCTCTATCTTGCTGAGCAGCTCGTCCACCTTGGGCAGCACCTCCTGCTCCAGCTGCTCGAACCCCGCCTGGTTGTTGCCCTCCATCATCATGTTACGCGGCTGGTGGAACGCCCCCTTGCGAGGGTAGTTGCGGCGGGGCGCTGGCGTCTGGCTGCGCGGGCTGTCGGGTGACGAGTTCTCGTCGGGCGAGGGGGCGCGGGAACGCTTCTCGGCAGGCTGGACGGCTGAGGGGGTCACCTCGGCTGCCGCTGCCGCCAGCGCACCTGTAGCGGAAGACGATTCCTGTTGCTGGTGAGGGTTCTGGGGGTGCTGGTGATCTTCGTGGGCGGCAGCGTTGTTGGATGCACCCTCCTCAGTCTGCTGGGCGGAGGGGTTTGTGTGCCCGACAGCCCTACAAGGACAATACAGGAGACACCACACAGATCTCGTTGAAATGCGTCCATGGAATCCGTTTTCCTTTCATGAAATGCTCATCTGTGCCCTCCCGCCCTCCCCTGTGTGCCCTTTCTCACCGTCTGTTTGGTATGGGCTGCGGTGCAGCCCTCGAGTCGGGGTTTGTGTCCTTCATGGCCTTCTCCGACGCGAGTGAACCGTCAGAATCGTGATGGGACTGTTGAAATCGCGATGGGTCATCCGAGTGCTCGTCCCTCTCCCCTCCGCACAGCAACTCCAGCAGGTCTCCCCCTGCGTACACACATGTCAGAGTCAGACGGACACTCCATGACGGCTTCGCCGGGGGCCGGGCGCTTACCATCTTGTGGCGCTCGAGCCGCCTTTCTCTCACAGCAATTGCCCATTCTCGTGTGCGTGCTGGGTGGGGGCTGGGGGGCGAGCTTTGGGTGTTGGACGCTCAGGAAGAAACAGGGAAACGAGGGAGTCCGCCCGTCAGGGAATGACCGGGCAGCCAGATAGTCGCCCACCATGACACCGGCATGGCAAAAGGATGCCATTTGGCTGACGATCGCCACCAGCACCATGCGATGCTGCACACTATCCTCCGCCCACCGCCCCTCCGCCGCCATGAACCTGCGCGCACACAGAAGGCAGCAGACACACCATATGGCCAGATTCATCCGTTGCACTGAGATCTCCCACTCTCTGGCAGCCACCCGCCCTTGAGGAGTGCGTACAGGTCAGATACACCCACCTTCTTGCTGCTATGGCCGCCGACACGAGGCCCAGAAAACTCCGCCACCACTGAATGGAGCCATCGCTCCGCGCCCTCCCTTCCTCCCTCGACTCTTGTGGCCCGGCCGCAGCAGTACGGAGGAAAACGAGAAGAGCGGGAAGATTTGAAAAAGCGAGCTCAGAAAGAGAGATCCCGGAAAAGGTAAGACGATACCGGCGTTCGCGAAGCGCCGCGGCGCCGTGGCGCGCCGCGAGGCGCCATGACACAGAGCAGCTCAGCACTTGGAAGCGCCAGAGCGCCAAAAGAGAGAGAGTCCAACGGCAGCATCGGCGTCACGGCAACGTTCCAGCCATTCACCAGTCTGGAGCGGAGCGCTGCTGCGAGTTGCAAACGGTGGTTCTATCAGCCAACAACCTGTTTGGTCGGCCTGCAACACCCATTCGTTGCTTGGCAGCTCGGCCAACAACCCTTCGGTTGGCCGCATCACCCATCTGTTGCTTCCCAGCTGGGCGGCCAGCGGCCCATTCGGTGGCTATTTTGTTCGGTGGATGCAACACCGATTCGTCGCTTCGCAGCCCGGCCACTGCCGCGCAGCGTCCACTCAGGTTCTTCTCATGGTTTGTGCTTCTGGTGAGGTGATTCTGCTGCGATTTGGCATGGACCATGCAGGCACTTACATTCCTCTGCTGGCCATAGTTCGGTGGACACTGTGACAAACACACGGTAGAAAGACACATGCACTCTGTCTTCCATCAGCCGTCCCAAATGCATCTCCTCTCATTCTTTCAGCCATGTGTCAGGCAGGCCGCATGAATCTGGATGGCTTACCGAGACAGGGGGCCAGCTTCCAGGGTAAGACACGGCGTGATTGACTGCAGGATATGCTGAGGAGCTTTCTCTCTACTTGCCTGGAGTCTGCCGGACGTCTGGGATAGTTCTGCGGGCAGACACGGAGAGAGACACACAAAGCAAACAGAGAGACACAGGCATTGTGTTTTCCCTCAGCTGTCTCAACGGCATCTTTTTATTCTTTCAGCCTCGAATGTGAATGCCTTACCGACCAAGAGAAGCCAAGAAGCCAGCGTCTGTCAGTACACAGTGGGCTTTCGGGGTTGAAGTGATTGACACCAGTGGGGGAGATGCTGAGAAGGCAATGCAGAGGGAATTCAGCGGCAGCTCGCGGCACTCGAGACGCTGAACAACAACAGGAAGACGGCTCCTGCCGGAGTCCCCTTGCACCCCTGGGAGACCATGGGATGGCACTCCGTTCTGACCCTGATCTTGATCAACCCTTAGCTACCCTTAGCTCGACACCCCTTACACGCAGAGACACGACAATAAGTGCACATCGCTTCCACAGCAAGACGAAGATAAACTTCATTTGTACCAACAGATAGAGCCGCGTATAAGCCTCAAGAGAATGCTCTCTAGACAAGGGCCAGCAACTTTGTCGTTTTGTAGTGGCCAGCACAGTGCACCATCGCCAAGTAGTGGGGGACGCTGAGCCACCCCCATTGCCTAGCGATAGTACTGTCAGTGAGGCTCGGCGCCTCATGACGCCTAGCGGGGCGTCGGCGTTGGTGCACGGAAGTCGCATGTGTAAATTTTTGCTTCCACTTATCTGAGCATTTACTGCAGACGCCTCTCATCTTCGCATAGATGTCCGCCGGGCACGTGGCGTGTGCAGAGGCCATCAATGAATGATGTGGACATGAATTCTTTTGACAAGCATATAGGCCCACTTTGTGCAAACTGAGATCCCTGACCTCGCTCCGTCCCTAGCCGCGCCTGCATGAATATGTGTACCCAGGATGTCCACGCATCCGCAGCTAGCTGCGGATGCCTCTCCATCAACAGACGTTCAGCCGACATCCGCCGGTGCCATCTCCATCAACAAAGACGTTCAGCCGACATCCGCCGGTGCCATCTCTTGATTCTAAGCAGAATCTGCGGACGTTGCCAGCTATCTATCGCCTCTCCTGCTTTTGCGATGACAGCTGGTTGACATACGGATGTCTGCCGTGCATGCACCGTGCAGAGGTCATCCATCGTTCCTTCGACGGACATTGTGCCAGCCATGAAGCGCAGACACACACGCACACATGCATGTACATTATCATACATGCATCAACACCTACATCATGGCGCCTCCTGCCTTCCCCAACAAACATGCTCAGCCGACGTTCGCTGGTCTCCCTGTCGTCTGTAACCATCAAAGCTGGAAGCCCTTCTCCCCCACCGCCACACCAGGCTGTGTCTTGTGTGGCAGCTCACGGCCACTCCCCTTGAGGGCGCCACGCCGCCCTCACTCCCCCACGCCGCCCTCACTCTCACCCAGCTTGTTGGCAGCAGCTTGCGCGAAGTCGCCCAGTGAGGTGTCGGCCGTCAACTGGATCTCAATGGTGGATCCCGAGCCAACCATCAGCTGGACCTTGACGGTGAAGGAGCCGTCCTTGTGGAAGCGGTTGGTGTCGTCTTGTGTGGTGGGGTGGGGGGCGTGGATACTCTGCCTGAGATCCGGCAGATAGACAGACAGACCGACAGACAGGAATGGTCACGCGTGTGGTTGCGGGGTGTGTCTGCGTCTGTCTCTGTGTGTGCTGACCTTCCTCTACGTCATTCTTGGCGTCGAACAGCATGCCGCCTCGATTCTTGTAGGGGGCCTCGGCCTCGTCATCTTGTCAGGTGTCATACTGACACACATACGAACAGCCGGCATGAGTGTGACACCATGGTGTGGTCTGTGCCTGTTTGTATCATGATGTACCAGATAGCGAATCGATGAACTGATGGCTATGCGTGACATCATGCGTGTGATGTGTTGATAATATATGTCGCCCATGCTCGTCCTCTCGAGGAATCTGTCGGCATTGATGGGTCTTCTGCGGCACCCCGAAGGTCGAAATGGCCATGCAGCCATCCGAGCGTCTTCCAACACTGTACCGCACACACACCCACATAAGAGTCTTCGTCGGTGTGTGGGTGGCGCACTGCGTGTTCACCTTGAGGTTGTCGCCGAAGAGGGCCACGCTCTCCATCATGAGCACCGACACGTGGCGGTTACACACTCGATGTGTGTATGGACGCATTGCGTACCGGCAGCTGGTCTGAGCTGCTGTGTGGGCGGCTGCATTGGGCCGTCGCTGCGAATCGAGCAGACAGATGTGGTTGAGTGGGAAGAGCGTGTTTGGCGACACCCAGCTCCTTGGCACCGTCTCCCTCTCGTCCGGCGGCTCCCACGCAGACCAGCCGCCCCACACCATCGCCTCGAAGTCAACAAGGCGCCGCTAGATCAGCCGGAGAGGTCGGCCGTGTTACTTGGTGCTGGGCGGCAGATGGCTACAGATGGCGCCAGCTGGAAAGATGCTGTAGCTGTCCACTTGAGCGCCTTGTCTGTTCGGCAGACTCACACGCGGCAAAGTTAGGCGGTCAGTCCATGTTCTTCTCTCGCCATGGATTCAAGTAGCGATGCCCATAGATTCAAGTAGGAAGTAGACGCCTGCGCTCTTCTCTTATGGTAGATTCAAAGTCCGCTGCTCCCTTCCTTGTGCGAGCTGTCAGTCATGGCGAGCTTTTCAGATCTGCCGAAGCGTGAGAATCAGAGGCGGCATAAGTGAAGAAAAGGTGTCAAGATGAAGCTCAAAGGTGAGTTTGTGGCAGATCCGAACATGAACAGACCTGAGAAACCATTCTCTGTGTGTGTGGCGTTGCTGTGCGTCAGAGGGCAGCAAGCGCCAGCCTCTCGGCCGCAAATACAAGGTTGGTAGGGGATGCCTACGCTCATCGGTTGTACTTCCCCTCACTCACTGCTTGGTGTTTCTCCCCTCCGTCCCTTTGCGTCAGATCCAGAAGAAGGCCCGCGAGCACACCCGCAAGATGCGCAAGATCGCCAAGACGGCTCCCGTCAAGAAATGTGAGCATGTGACGTCAGCACCCACGTGAAAGAAAACACACACACGCAACTGTGCATGTGTGTGTGTGTCTGGTTGTTGTGCAGCGAAGCGAAAGGAGTCCGGGATCCCCAACAACTGGCCGTTCAAGGCCGAGTGGCTGCGGCACATACAGCAGCAGCGGGAGCGGGACGCCCAAGAGAAAAAGGAGAGGCGCGAGGCGCTAAGACAGCAGCAGATCGCCTTGAAGGAGCAAGAGAAATCGGCCTCCAAGAAGGGCAGCCGTGCTGCCGCTGGTGCTGGTGGTGCGGCTGCCGATGAAGAGGACGAGTGGGAGGACGTCCCCGATGATGACGACGATGGTACGTTTGCTTCCACAAGCTCACATACACACACATTGATTGATGCGTGTGTGTGTATGTGTGCATTCATTGGTCTGTCTGTCTGTCTATCTGCAGATGTCATCGATGAGGAGATGGATGACGAGCCAGCGCCCAAGCGGAAGAAGACGTCCAGAGAGCAGACAGGGGCAGCCGGCAAGAAGTCCGCATTGCCGCCATTCGCCGACCCCAGTGGGGCCGCATTCAACGTCACCAAGGGGTGGGTGGGACAGTCACATCTCGTCACGCGTGTGTATCAACCAAAGTGCCTTCTCGGGTTCGTTCGTTCGTTCGTCAGGGTGACGTACGAGATGTTGGCGGCCGACGCAGCGCAGCGACAGGGCCTCTTCGGCCCTGCAGGAGCCGGACCACAACCAGAGGCACAGACCAAGACAGCAGGTGAGAGGAGAGAGGCCACGTGCACACACCAATGACAGCAGCCACACAGCCGGCATGGCCCCCCTGCATTCGATCAGACTACCGGGGCGAGTCTTCTCGCAAGAGCTGGTACAAAGATCTGCAGAAGGTGGTGAATGAGAGCGACATCGTGGTGGAGGTGCTCGATGCGCGTGACCCCAACTCGTGTCGGTGTCGCGAGCTGGAGCGCAGCATCGTGGCCCAGAGCAAGAAACTCGTGGTCGTACTCAACAAGATCGACCTCATTCCAAAGTGCGCACGCACACACACACACAGACACACCCCTCTACCTCGCTGCGCGTGTCTGTGTCTGTGTGTGCGTGTGCAGATCGGCGCTTGAAGCGTGGCTTAAGTATCTGAGACGTGAGTACCCCACAATTGCATTCAAGGTCATCACACACCTTCGCGCACACACAACCAGACAGAGAAGCCCACTTGTCCACCGTCCGTGTCATCCCTCTGTCTGTCTTTCAGGCCGCGTTGGGCGGTGATAAAGTTCGTCACGCCAAGACATCGGCACAGCAGGCGTCAGACGCACTACTCAAGTGAGTAACTCACCCCCCCCCCATCCATCCATCCAGAGAGCACCCGATCGACCCCTGAGCCTCTCTGTTCGTGTGTGTGTGTTTGTGTCTCCAGGAGTGGGAGTGCGGTGGTGGGTGCGGACGCGTTGATGCAGCTGGTCAAGAACTACGCCCGCACGGGCAGCAGCAACGTGGCCAAGAGCAAGCAGTCCATGTCGGTGGGCATCATCGGCTACCCCAATGTGGGCAAGTCCTCCATCATCAACTCGCTCAAACGCGCCAACAACGTCGTCAAGGTAACCGCCACGAGGCGGCGTGTGTATGGGTCTGTCTAATGGTGTGTGCCATGTGGCGTGTGTAGGTTGGCGCTGAGGCGGGTGTGACGAGGGGCGTGCAGGAGGTGCAGCTGGATGCTAAGGTGAAGCTCATCGACTCGCCGGGGGTGGTCTTCGGCAAAAACGAAAACGACCCCAGCACCGTCCTGCGAAACGCCGTCAAGGTGCGGCTGCTCATGCGCACCGCACCTGGCCAATCCGTGTTTGTACGTGTGTGTGTGCTGCTGACCGCAGATATCGTTGGTCAAGGACCCCCTGACCGTTGTGGAGGCTCTGCTGCAGCGATGCCCAAAGCCGTCGCTCATGAAGTTCTTCCAAGTACACACCACACCATACCCACGGAGAACACTGGCTGGCACAGACACAAATGAATGAATGAACCCGACCCATGTGTGTGTCTGTGTGTGTGCAGGTGCCCGTGTATGAGGATGCGTCAGAGCTGCTCGCCGAGGTGGCCCGGGCCAGAGGCAAACTCAAAAGGGTCAGACACCACACACACACACACACACATATGCACACACACATGCACACGTGTCTCTTCTCCCTCCCTCCCGCACACACACACACGCATCCATGACTGACAGGGCGGCAGTCCGGACATCGATGCCGCGGCGCGTCACGTGCTGACGGAGTGGGTGTCGGGCAAAATCAGATACTACACTATGCCGCCACATGAACAGCCCAGCGAGGTACCTACACATCAAAACACAGCCACGCACGACTTGCAACCGCGAATCTTCTTGCTGTCTGTCTGTTCATCCATTCATCTCATCTCTTGTGTGCGTGCAGCATGAGCACGCCGAGATCGTGTCATCGTGGGGGGCGGATTTCAACATCGACGCCATCTTCGCGCAGAACGACGCTGAGATGAGAGACCAGGAAATGGAGGCCACGTCATCCTCCTCGCAGCACACCGTCGCAAGTGAGGGAGGCAACATTCCTCCCTCCCTCCCTCTCTCTCACACGTACTTCTTGTTGTCATGTCGGCGTTCAGTGGAGCTGTCTTCTGCTGGGTTTGGCGACGCAATGATGGACCATGATGGCCCTGCTGCTGCTGCTGCTGGTGTGGGCGAGTTCCTCATGGACGACCGCCGGCACTCAGACAAGAAGGGCAAGCGCACAGCAGCAGCAGCAGCAGCAGGGGAAATGATGACGGACGGCCCATCGTCATCGACACCACAGCCGAGACGAGGCACCGAGGCTGATTTCGACATCAAGGTACGGGAGCATCTGAAGGCTGTGCGTATTCAACACACTTGTAGTCTATGTCCATGTGTGTGTGTGTGTGTGTGTGCAGAAGAAGCGGCGTCGCTCTGTGTTGCGTGGAGGCGACGAGCTGTCAAAGCTCAAGAGCCCAGCCATCCCGCCCAACATGAAAAGGGTCGAGAAGCAGGTCAGTTCGGACACACATCGATGGCGGCTTTGTCTTCCTTGTTCATCCATCCATCCATCCATCCATCCACACGTCAGATGCGCAAGAACCGTCGTCGCGAGAAGGCCCGTGCACTCGAGGACGAGCAGAACCGAATGACGGACGACTCTGGACACACTGCAGCCATCTCACACACGGCAGCTGCCGGCAAGGGCAAGGGCGGCAAGAAGGGCGGCAAGGGGACGGACGAGGACATTATCATGGCCTAGCAGTCATAGCCGTGTGTTGTGTTGCATGGTGTTTTGGGGCGGCTGTGTTGTCTATTCGTGGTTCGTTCCTATGTGAGTGGTGAGGTTGGTGACCCACGTGTGATGGCGAGATCCGGCGGTGCAGCTCTTCGCCGTCACGTAGAGGTTGCCGACCTTACCACTCACAGGGGATGGGATGACACCCTGGCACGTTTGTCGGTACTTGGCTCCGGCTTTGGTCGGTGTGTGCGATTGAGTGAGTGCTCCTGAGTGCTGGTGTGAGAAGGGGATGACGTACCCCAAGGTGTCTTGTGTTGACCCACAAGATGTCCTTGAGGTATGTCACGGCCCTCCGACACACACGCACTTTGAAGCACAGTGTGCACAGACGGCACAGACAGACACATACTTGTGGACGGGACGGTGGATCGGTGGGTGTGTGGGTGGGTTTGAAAGGTATGTGGCCTGGCCGTCGGGTGCACTGCACGTCACGTGTGTCGGTCCATCTGTCTGTCTGTCTGGGTGAGGCGACGCGAGGCGAGGGATCCCTCACAGCAGGCAGGCAGGCGACGATGTGGCCTGGCCGCTCACTCAGGACAGGACAGGACATTCAACCATCAATCAAGCACCGTGGTAGTTCGTCCACTCAGTCACATGCACCGCACCCAGCCATGACCGCACCGCTATCCCTTCCCCTCCCCGTCTGTCTGCACACACGGCCACCATCCCTCTCACCGCACCTCACCCGCTAACATCATTTCTGTCACCCGCTCAGTCACCCATCATACTGACGGCAGCTCGATAGGCCGACTGACGCACACAGCACACAGAGAAGACCAGACCGGGGGCATGCACTCACGCCGCCCATTGATGCGTGTGGGCACCATGCTGTGCTGACCTGACGATGGCGGCCAGCAGGGCCTCCTTCTCTGCTGAGAGAGGCCGAACACCATGAGCCAAGTCAACCCTGCAGGTAATCAAGAAGAACACACAGACACTCGCCATCCAGTCAACACACCAGCAGAGCAGTGCAGTGAATCCATCCATCCATCCGCCACCCACCCACCTCTCAAACGCGTCCTTGCCCCTCCCCGGCGACCCCCCTCCCCCCTCCATGACCTTGACCCGCCTCCGATGCATCTGCAGCACCCGCAACCCCTCACGCAGCATCCGCCGCCTCAACACACGCCCGACCAGCGCCGCATCCGCACCAGCCATCCGCTGCTGCTGCCCCACCACAGTCTCCAGCACGCTTCTCATCAGCCCGACGAGGTTGGCAAAGCCGACGGGATGGCTGATGAAGGGGATGTCGGTTTCCGTGGCCTTGGTCTCGGTGCGATGGGTCAGGAGAGCCAGGCCTGTGTGGTCCCCAGGCGGCAGCATCGATGGGCTGTGGTGCTTGGCGGCCTCCAGGGAGGCCCGGGACACCTTGACGGGAGTCGAGAGGTCTCTGCGCCTGGCTGCATTTCCCTTGGTGCGGCTCAGGGGGGACTTATGCGGGTGCATCATCCCATCAGCGCCGCATCGTCACTCGTAAATCTCCATGCGAGCTTGAAATTGCTGCTGAGCAGATCTGCCAAATGAAGTCGCATTCGAGGCACAGACGAAGGAGGAGGGCAAGCTCACCGCTCGTCAGGCTCCCCGCCCTCCTCGCAATCTCATGCACCCTCCTCTCTTCTCTGTGCTGGTCCTTCCAGCTGCACCCCTCCTCCCCCTCCCCGTCGCAGCAACAGCAGCAGCCATTCAGCACACTCAGGAGGCCGTCAATACGGCCCCTGGCTGCCAAAGCCAAAGGTGGCGCAGATGTGGCCACCAGAGAGAAGAAGGAGAAGAAGCAGAATGCGGCGCCGGCTGGTGCACCAGCCGCTGCTTCTCCCAGGGTGATGCCGCTGCCGGCGTCGATCGTCGACTGCATTGCACAGGCTGCCGAGGCGATTGAGGCGGGCTACCGTGACCGCATCCCTTTGATGGAGGTCGACTTCCCCCCGCTGCCAGCTGATGTGCTCAACTCGGCGCAAACTGCTGATGATGACGTCTTCCGGGTCAGCCAGCCGGACAACACGAAACGCCACGCCTGGTTGGTGTGTATTGCGTCTGTGTCTGTGCTCGCGGTGTGTGGGTTGGGTCGATATATCAGGCGAATCTGAAGTATGCCGTGGATCTGGCTGTGGCGCTTGTTGATGAGATGCGGCTCAACGTGACGGTGTACTTCAAAGACGCCGTCGACTGCGAGGCGGCCATGAAGCTGCAGGGGGGCGGCAGCCAGCGGCCATACCCCAACGTCACTCTGTCGTCCATCAGAGTGGGATATGGACCCGCTGAGTCGAGATGGGTCAGTCAGTGAGGAAACACACACACACACACACACACACACACAGGCAACACACGGTGTGTGTGTGTGTGGGTTCTGTGTGCTGCATACAGGATTCGGTAGCCAAGTTTTTGCAGGAGAACGTCTTCAACGTCAAGGGTGACCTGAACTATGACGTGGCTGCCGCCGACATCTACCTGCTCGTGGGCTTCGGGGGCTTCGCTTACGAAGACATCCGGTGGCTGCACCAGCAGCGGCCCGACACGCCTATCGTCTTGATCAACTGCCTTGTCGACCGAATCAGGTCGGCGATCGATGCACACATAATTGTGCTGCTTGGAAACGGTCCGTCTGAGCGTGTGTGTGCCTGCAGGGGTGACCTTGGTCTTGGCCGGTATCCGCCAAAAGAGTTCCATTACCAGTTCCTCTCACAAATCAAACCGGTGAGACTGATGAGATAGATCATCGAGAACCACACAGACACTGGTCCCCATTTCTGCGTCAATGCGCGCCTTGCCTTGTGAACAGGTGTACTTTCTCAAGTTCCGCAACTTTGCGGAGACGGGGTTCGGCAAGGCGCCCATCTTCTTCAACGGCATCCTCTTCAGGGCCTACCCTGGCACCTGGCAGAGCCTGCTCGAAGTCGCAGCTGGCGAATACAAGTAAAGCGACCATCCAGACCTACACATGGGTGCATTGCATCTCTCGTGTATGCAGGTTGATCAAGAACGAGGCAGACCGTCCGTCGTTCACTGATGTGCGGAACGACCTGCTTGAGGCGGTGGGAGGTGACCCCAGCTACAGGGACAACGCGAAGCCGTGGTGGGAGGAAAATTTTGAGGGCGAGGCCAGCGACGCGTGGAGGAAATGATTGGATGGATGACCATGGGAGAGGGTGGCCATGGGGGGGTTGATCGCATGGTGGGGGACTGCATCATGTGGACGTGAGAGAGATCTTCTGTGAGAGGATGGGACCGACACCCAAAGGGTCGTGGGTTCGTGTGGGTGGGCTGGGTTGATTTGTTCTGACTTACGGCTCACTCATTTTGTTTGCCAAGACGCATTGCAATGGACGCACCTGAACCAGACTGACTGTTGGTGCCTGTCGTCCTTTGATCTGACCGTGCCACACAGCGCCGTGCGTCCACATGTCTGTCCACATGGAACAGCACACCCCCACCCACCGTCCCCATCAATGCGCCCTGCCTTCGCCTCACTGCCCGCCTTCCTTGTCCGATACTGATGCATCAGTCGATCCATCGATTCCCGTTCGAAAAATCGGAGCCTGCAGCTACTCGCTGCTCCCTTCCCCAAAGAAGGTCGTTTGTTTCTGGCCCCTCCCTCCTTGGCTCGCTAACGCAACCAACATCAACAGACAGCAGCTGTGGCATCAGGCGACCCCCTGCTGCTAGACAGCCCCGTGTCGCGTGCAGACGTATCTCTGGGTGGAGGATAGACAGCTGGGCGTGGCTGTCTCAGCTGATATGGGTAGATACAGCACAAACGGAAGAATGACCATCAAGGGGAGGGGGAAAAGGGGGATGGGGGGTCACGTTTGCTTGCATTGCACCCGGATATATGTTGCTCCCACGCACACACGACACGCAAGGAAGGCATGGTTGCTTGCTCGAGGGAATGGAAACAGTGTGGGGAACTGACCACAAGCAACCGCACAGCCCCCCCCTCATGGATTGATTAGTCAGTCGAATGAGTCAGTGAGTCAGTCAGTGAAAAGACCCTTCATCAGCCATGCAGGAGATGAGGGTCCCATCACGTAAAGGAAGAAGAGACAGAGGACATGCCACACGCCACTGGAGGAGAGTGGGTCACAGCAGCCAGCCAGACTTGGACACACACGCAGAAACCGATAGACAGACAGACAGACAGACAGTGCCCACCGAGAAAAATGAAGACGGAAAGGAATGAAAGCAGTGGCGGCCATGCCATGCAGGGTGTGAGTGTGTGTTGTCGACATGGTGATATCGGGATGGATGAACGCAGCCCACACAGGTGCCTTCCCTGAGGGTGTGTCTGGTTGCCAGTCAGAAGACCACGGGCCCTCCGCTGTCAGCATCATGACGCCAGAGGGATCGTGTTGTCCTGTCCTGGTACCCTACACCCCCGCAGGAAGCGGCACATGGTCACATCAACAGCTCTCAGCAGAGCAGTGGCTACCTACCCTACCGCACCCACCCTACACACGCCCTCTCTCTGTCTGCTTCGTTCGCCCCGCAGCTCATCCCTCCGCGTGTGTCTTCGCCCCCCGGCCGCCAACGAACGCCTCACGTGACTTGTTTCCTCACGCTGGGAGTCCGTTGCCGGTCGCTGCGAAAACACAACCAACGCGACGGTGGCTGTAGACATGGTCAGATATGCGCCCATGTACAGCCAGCCAGGCAGCCAGGCAGAAAAATGGGCGAGCGGAAAAGAATACTCGTGAGATGGTGTGAAATGCTCGCCCTGCAATGCAGTAGACAATTCCCCGTTCACACTCTCCCCTCCCCGCCCCGCCCCTCCCCACCACTTGCCAGCCTGAAGCTCGGTACAGGTACACACACGTGTGCACACGTAGACATGCATGTAAGCACGCAAGTATCATCGCATGCATCAGTGAGACTGGTCGGTCGGTCGGTCGGTCGGTCGGTCGACTGCACTTCATTCACTCAGTGGACTGGCTCATGAAACGAATGCATCATCAATCACATCAGCCGTCTCCCGGCTGACGAAAAGACCCGCATGCACACACGCACTTCACTTATCACCCACCCACACCACAACCACACCCACACGCATGAGAGGATCCAACATGCACATGCAGCCCAGCCATTTATGTATGTGTTCATCTTGACGTCAAAAACTGGATTGCGTTGATTGAGACTGACTGGACCAAAAGGCACGCGCTCCACTCCCTGACACACACATGCATCGCTCCCCTCCCATCCACTCCACTCCCTTCCTGTCATCAAATCTCTCTCTACATCTGCACAACGGCCGTCTGCGCCAGGTGGGGCGTGTTGCGGAGGTGCTCGACAGGCAGACTTGCGAAGTAGAACTGACAGCCATCAATCCAACCAACACACGCAGACACACACACAAGAGTGACCTCCTTGCTTTGATGTGCCGTTTTTGTAGGTGTTGTGTGTTCGGCTCTCATCTCACCTGCTCAGTCAGTTCCGGCAGCTCGCTCAGCTCCTCTTTCTCGACGCGCTTGAGGCCCAGCTCGTTCCAGATCTTGTCGAGGCTGTCGACGAGGTGCAGCAGGTCGGTCGCACTGTGCAGCGGCCCAGGGGTGGCGCGGAGCCGCTCGGTGCCCTTGGGGACCGTTGGGTAGTTGATGGGCTGGATATAGAGGCTGTGCTCCTTGAGCAGCCTGTCTGACGCCTCCTTGCACTTGACGGGGTCGCCCACGAAGACCGGCACGATGTGCGACGGGTTGTCCATCACCGGGATCTTCCGCGACCGCAGCAGGTGCTTCAGCTGGGCCGCCTTGAGGTGCTGCAGCTCCCTCTCGACCGTCGACTGCTTCAGGTGCCGGATGGACGCTGTGGCGCCCGCACACACCACGGGGGGGAGGGCGGTGGTGAAGATGAAGCCGGCGGCGTAGGAGCGGATGGCGTCGAGCATGGTGCGGCTGCCGGCGATGTAACCGCCGAAGACGCCCACGGCCTTGCCGAGGGTGCCGTTGATGATGTCGATGCGGTCGAGCTCGCCCACCTGCTCCGTGACGCCAGCGCCCCTGGGGCCGTACATGCCGACGGCATGGACCTCGTCGATGTAAGTCAGGGCGTTGTACTTCTTGGCGAGGTCAGCGATCTCTGTGATGGGGCTGATGGAACCGTCCATCGAGTAGACGGACTCGAATGCCACGAGCTTTGGCTTGGCGGGGTCGGCGGCCTTGAGGAGCTCCTCGAGGTGGGCCATGTCGTTGTGCTTGAAGATCTTCTTGTCGCACTTGGAGCCGCGGATGCCGGCGATCATCGAGGCATGGTTCTTCTCGTCAGAGAAGATGATCAAACCGGGGAACAGCTGACCCAACGTCGACAGCGCAGCCTCGTTGGCCACATAGCCTGCATTTCATACACACGACCGAACCGACACACACACGGGGAGGTGAGAGCACACCCACATGCATTGCCTTCTGTGAGTGAGTGAGTGAGTGAGTGAGTGGCTGCCTGACCTGAAGTGAAGAGGAGTGCGGATTCCTTGTGGTGCCAGTCGGCCAGTTCCTTCTCGAGGTCCACATGGTAGCTCATGGTGCCGCTGATGTTGCGCGTGCCCCCCGCGCCCGTCCCAGCGGCGTCGAGTGCGGCATGGCTTGCCTCGAGGACCTTCTTGTGCTGGCCCATGCCGAGGTAGTCGTTGGAGCACCAGATCTTGACCTCATCCCTCTTGCCGTCCTTGAAGAAGGCCGCGTGGGGGAACCGGCCGCAGTTGCGCTGCAGGGTCGCGAAGACGCGGTAGCGGCCCTCCTGGTGCAGCTTCTGGATCGACTCCTGGATGGCCTGGTGGTAGAAGAATTGATTGCCACTGCTGCTGTCGCTGCTCGATGCCTGTGCTGGGGCAGTGCCATTGGCCGCCATGGCGTCAGCGGATGTGTGGGCGGGCGATGCGCCGTTGAGCGTGGTGCCGTTGGCATGTGCGTGGTGATAGGGGCACCCGCCGCCGCCTTGTGGCTGAGCACGGTTGGCCTTCTCGGCTGCCTCGTGAATCACTATCGGCTGAACACACACACACACACAGCAGCAGAGAGAAGGCAACACACATGGTGGGTGTGTTGTGGCTCATTGAAAGGTGCTTTCTCCCCTCCCATCCCCCCTGCCCACCCACCGACCTGGTCAATTTTCGAGGCCACGGGGCACATCTGGGCGAAGACGTTCCAATCCCCTTTGATTTTGTCGCCCATGCGGCCCACAAAGGGGCAAAGACGCTGGATTTCGCTCGTGGCGAAGCTCAAAAATCGGCCCGGCATCCTGACGAGGCGAGAACTGTCAAAAACAGCTCCACAAGGGCTCCTCTGCCGAGTGGCTCACAGACACGCAGGCAGAGCGTGCACAGACGGCCAGCTGTGGAGGGCAAGGACTCGGTAGCCTGATCTGCAAGGCTATTGGCTCCGCTTAGGGAATGGTGCTGTTTTACGGAACCGTCTTCCCCGGAGCAGCGTCAGACGTCACTCGGTCCTCGAGATCCATTGAGTTTAATGAGCGAACAGGCACGCGCCTCGAAGCACCAACACGTGACGCAACCATGCGCATCATCCACTCTCCTTCTTTCTCTGTGTGTTGGTACTGATTGGTGGACCGTTTCAGATAGAACGCGGGTTCCTCGTGCAGCTTGTGGCCAAAGATGGCGCAGTCCAGGACGTCGCCCACGACTGGTTGAGCTTCACGAGTGGCATCAGCTCATCGAAACTGAAAGGACTCATCCATGCCGCGTGCGCACCGCTTTTGAATAATGTGGGACTCTGCGAGATGCGCATCCGAGACCACCCCGATTTCCTGGACCAAGTGACTGCTGACAGCTTTCCAGGCCATGGACGGGAGGGGCAGGAGCCAATTGTCATCACAGTTGCCCTTCAGCGTGAGATTACCTGGTCCGACATTCTCTCTGCTGTGCGTTCGGGGCTACAAGCATTACGTTTGTTTTTCTCGCCGGCTTCGGACAGCACCCCTGGGCAGGCTATATCCTCACCGCTGCCGTCATCTTCATTGGCGAGCTCAACGAGCGATTCCTGCACTGTGTCGGGAGGCCATTTCGTCAGAGCTGCGAGGGCCCCTGAGGGGCGGCAAAACAGGGAAGGCAGCGTGACGACGCCGCTTCTGTACAATCACACGTGAGTTGAGTGGCTGAGAGTGCTGCAGCCATGAGCATGGAGCTGCCGTCCTGCGCGGGTGTGGTGTGGTGCTGTGGTGGCCTACCCGGTATGCAAGCGCACCAAGTGTGCAGATATGTCTTGTTCGACCGCTGTATGTGTTTGTCGCGCTCAGGTGTGTCTGATGCAGTCCGTGGCCCGTGTGAGACGACTGTTGCTCTTTCATCTTCCCCTGCACACCGCCAGCGGCAACTTGAGTGAAGCCATGAAGAACTCTGAGGCAGCCCCAGTGCAGCAGGGAGGAAGAGTCGGGGGCGTGGTGTGTGCGTGTGATGATTCTCTGCGTAGCGGCTTAGCTGCCCGTCTCTGTTTTGTCCGAATACTGTTCGTGTCTGTCGTCCGTTGGTTGCGTTTCCGTTCCGCTGCGTTGGGGTGGTGTGGTGTGCGTCTTCTGCAGTGCCGGTGGGGCCATTGCATGGCTCCTGATGGCACTCAAATGGCTGAGATCACCATCGCAGCGGATGGAAACGACACGGGCGTTGTGTGTGAACGAGTCCCTAGCGTGCCTTCGTCAGTGTGCGTTTGCCTGCTTGTGTCCGTTGGCTGTGGCGGCTGGCTGGCTGTCCCTGCATATAAAATGTAGGCAGCGATGCGCACGTGCCGTCTGTACGCGGCATGTGGCCTATGCACCGCTGTCTATGGGTTATATGGCAGGGCGGCTGGCGCTCCAACAAACAGCACATCTGCCGCCGTTCATCTGATTTATACACCGTACAGCTAGATTGGGTTCCCATTGCGCGTGTATCTGTGACGGGATTGCAGCTGTGACGATTGAGTAGTGTGCATCCGGGAGCTGACACGTGACAGAAGGCATTTCACGCCGTCTGTCTGACGTGTTGGTGACCGACGGCACACCACTCCGTCGACGGCAGCAAGAGGTGACATGAAAACTCGCCGTTTCTTTTCGCCATGTGCAGTTTTTTATGTCTTCATAGGGCCGTCTTCCTTCCTTGGTGTTTGTAGTAGGGACATTCATTACGAGCACAGCTATCTACATGTGGAGACATTTACGTGAGCGTTGAATGCGGTCAATAAGTCTTCTCTCGTGTCTCTTCAAAACAGAAGGCAGCGAGAAACACACGAGTGGCGCCCGTTCCCGGGCCCTCGTCCTGCCCCTCTCACCTCACCCCCTGTCCCACTCAGCTCACTGCATGAGTCTGAACACCTCTATCTCGTCAGCAACGAACATGCGCATCTGATATCCCATCACCGGAAGAAAGGGATGCACGGTGTCAGCTGACCGCCGTCCTCTCCCATTTCACTCCTCCGCAGCACCTCCGGACTCCACACGGCTGGTTGTGTGCTCGCGAGACCGAGACGCACTGGAGCGTCACTGAGGGCGACTGGAAGGTTGGGGCAGATGGTCCGGATGCCTTGAAGATGAGACAGGCCGCCTCTTAGTGATTTAAGGCCCGCGGGCCTCGGGACTCTCTACAAGACGCGGTGCGGCCGGCTGCAGGCTGGTGTTGATGTAGAAGCCGTCCATGTAAACCACACCCAAGTCCACGTCTCCATTTGCGCGGATGAGGAACAGCAGGGGGGTCGCATGGCCAACACGACAAAGCATGTCAGTGTATGCAAAGCCGTGCACCGTCGCCCTGCAGCCACATACGAGAGAAGAACATTGCATGTCCAAGGTGACAGACCGCTTATTCTGTATACTCCACATTACTTGAAGAGCAGTTGGATGCGTGTGCCCGTCTTCCGTAGTACGGCCACCAGCTGACTGGCAGATGCGATCACAGAAGGACTGGGGATGCACGGCCCATCGCCATGCAGCCGCTCCATCGCCAGGCCGTGTCTCTCCATCGCCGCCATGAGTGGTGCCTTCAGCCGTCGGGAGGCATTGGAGGCGTCGACCACACTCATGGGCGCAGCAGCACGCATGCAGCCGGCAAAGTCGATGGCGAGCGCATCGGCTGAGACCTTGGGTGGGAGCCAAGGCAGGTAACGCGAGAGCAGGGCCACGGTGGCCGCCAGGTTGGTGTTCATCAGCTGCCTTTGATGCGGGCGTTCTGTTCGCATCAGTGTTGCCTCCAGCAGGTCGGCCATCGACGACAAGGCAAACGCCGCCCTCCGCATCTATTGGACAGATTGGAAAGCGACATAGATAGTGATTCGGAGTGCACATCTAACTCCATTTCTCCCCCCCACCTTACAGTTGCGATGTCATTGGCTGTTAGGTGATGGCCCAGGTATCGGATGGACCTGCCCGTGCACCATCCGCCCGGGCGCAAATCGCCGGACACGTGCTGCCTTGAGCTCATCCAGATGGAACGGGTCAGATAGCACCACCGTCAGCTGAATGATGGACTGGATCTCGAGAACCGACCACATGCTCGACAGAATGAGCGCCCGGATCGATGACATTGGCCGATGGCACTGAAATTAGTGAGACACGGAGACACAAAGATGTAACCTGATCAGCGGGTGTACATATTCTTCATTCCTCGAAAAATCCTTTATATATGAGAGTCTCATGTATGGCCGACGTGTCCCGATCGATTTCGGTGCGCTGTCGTGAGTCTTTCATTTCCGTGTATCAGCTTTTGTGTCTTTTTGTGAATGCGGTGAATAAGTCATCTTCTCTCATGTCTCCTCAAAACAGAAGGCTGCACGGCCACATTCCGAAATATCTTGCAGAGAGAGAGAGTAAGATGCGCAAGTCGTACAAACGTGTGCCGTGTGAATCTTTTATATATGAGAGTCTCGTTGATGGTCTTGTTGATGGCCGACGAGTCTCGATCGATTTCGCGCGCTGTCGCAAGCCTCTCATTTCTTATCAGCTTTTGTGTTCTCCGACGTGTGTTGTGGACCACCATAAAAAAGGGACCGGCTTCTTTAGTCCGCTGGCTAGAAATCACGTCACGCGCTCCATCCGCTCCAATACGACGCCCATCTTTCCTGCAGCAAGGAAAACACACAAACAACACCACATCTCTCGGTCTCAATTCGTATTCGGTCTGGTCACACCTTTGTTGTCGAAATATGCCGGCCGCGTCATTCGGAGTCCTTCCCGTTTAGTGAGCTTGATGAAGGAGTCGAAAAGCAGCTGCTTGCCAATGTCCTCATCCCTGAAGCAAGATGAGGAGTTCAAACCAGCAGATGACACTTCAGGCTGCTTGATGAAGGAGTCGAACCAGCAGATGTCGGCCTGAAGTGTTTTGTGGCGCGAGCAGACCGTGCCCGGAAGTGGCGCCTTGCAGTCGCATCCATAGCCGTCGAATAAAGCCTGAAGACACAAACCATCGGTACCCCCAACAAGCAAGAAATGTGTATAGATGTAAATATATGTCTTATTCCGGTGCATCGGAATGTTAGTGACAATGACTATGCCGCCCTGACAGACATTATAGCCACACACATATACACACACAGAGAGATCAACGCTCTGTGTGTGTACCGGCGCGAGGAGGGACCAAATATTTTGCCAGAATGAGGTGGCGACCTTCCATCGTCGCGGCACGGTCTTACGCATCTCCTCGAGGCCAATCCCATCCAGCCAATGTGTCGCGATATCCCAAAAGATGTCCTGCCGAATACGAAGCACGAGGGCAGAAATAAGAGAGAATACTTAATGTCTATTACCCTCAGTTTCTAACCTGATCACAATAGACGAGTACGATGGTCTTGAAGTGGTTGAGTGGCAGTCAGAGTGAAGTGTGCGCAGAAGAAATCTGCACGATTTTTATGGAAGAGATATGCTGAGTGAATAAGTAAGGATTCGTTTTTGTGTGTCTCTGATCTACCTGTCGAGTATTGGTAAGGTCGAGCTGCCAGAAGTGCGGCATGATGGGTAGGTCTGCAAGGTCAGACCAGGGCACAGTGTAAGCAGGCCTGTCTCAACCCCTGGCCCTGAATCTCGTTTCGTTAAAGTCCCTAGCATCCTCAACAAGGTGGTCGTCTGCCGTCTTGTACTGCACCAATTTTTCGTTTTTCCGGTATCCGCTGAGCTTGCGCGGCAGCAGCACATCTTCCTCATTATCGATGAACGCCAACTTGGTGAACATCGTGTCGATTGTCCTGTCAAAGTAGACGGACAGTGAACATATAATGATATGAGGACATGCAGTGCCATGCACAGCATGTGTCGACACGCATACGGCACTACGCATGCATATGCCGACCCGATGTGCATGTGTAACTCCTGGAAGAGATAGTAGGTCAGCTCCGTGCCCTGCCCGAGGCCGTGAATGGGAGCGTGGCATCCTGATGCAAGGAATAGCAAGGAATGTCACACTGCAGTGTTGCGTGCATGTAAACGAAGTCTATGCCACCGAGCAGAACGTCGGGGACGTCGGGAGCGACAGGCGGAGGCCCCTGCCGAGCCAAGCCGATGGCACTGGAGACATCGTGGCGGCGCCAGCCCAGAGTCACTGGGAGGCAGGTCAGCAGTGTCACTAGCAAGGCCGGCACATACAAGGCCGCCAAAGCAACACAATGATGGGGCGACATGATGAAAGGCTGCTTTTGATGCCTTCTCCCGTGAGGCATTTCACGGATTTCCTAAGCTCCGGAGCCCTCTGTGTCGGGCTAGAGAGCCAAAGCATAGAGATCCAGCCCACATTTTTTTTTATCCAAGTGGAGAGATAATTGACAGATGGCATCCATGCACTCGCTTGTCCAAATCGCCTCCATGAATCTATCCACATATGCCTATGCACAAAGGGCACGCTCACTTATCCGATGAGAACACCCCAGCCCCGTCCATCGCCCTAACACCACGCCATGACTGCCTCCCGCCCCTCAAACACAGGCTAGCAGCCCGCACCAATGCAACAGACAAACGAGCACGCAGCCACCCATGCACCCGCCCTCGCCCCCTATCTGACC